TAAAAAAGGCTAAATGATTCATCCAAGGTCATATGGCAAAGAGGCTTTTCTCCTACATTCATTCCGCTGCCTTATAGCCTACCCCAGCGCTTTGCTTTTACCCACCTTGCGAGGAGATGGTTCTCAGTCTCAGCCACAGCCTGGGAGATGCTCTGATAGCTCTCTGGGCCTTGTTCCTGCTGAGCAAGAATGAGCAAGCTCTGGTGGGAAGCCAAGGGAGGGAGTGGGGGGTTCTGCCAAAGGCTGCAGGGATTTAGCCTCTACCAGAGAAGGGAGAGAGGTGGATAAGCCAGATCCGCTTTCTCTCACCCTTCCAGAGGCAAGCTGATACAACGTGCAGCTACAGAGCCATCATCATGACCCAGACAGGAGAGCCAGGAGCAGTCAGGAGGTTTGCTGAATGGAACTGAAGACAGACAGAAGCCAGACGGGGAGGGCAGCCATTTCCTCCTGAGCCCAGGGCCAGGGAGCTTGCAGGCTGGAGACAAGCTAGTGTTGTCAATGAGTCTTGGGCGTACATGACAGCTGGCTTCTACAAGATGTGAGCCCAAGTCCTGCTCTGCAGCGACCCACCCAGAATTGGGCACTATTGTTCCTTCTTCAGGAAAATGCAAGCAAATCAACCGTTACTCTTCCCGCCCCTTTGGAGACCAAAGCTCCGATAGAACTAAATGGTCAGATTCAAAACCTAAAAAATCATGACATTTTCCTGTATTAGAAAAATTCACTAAGTAACTGCTGAGTGCTGAGTTTTGGGCATTTACTTAAATGTGAAAGGGCAGTCTCTGTTCTCAAGATGTTTACAGTCTAGTTAGGAAGGTAAGCTGACAGACAAAAATTATGCATAAAAAAGAATGTGGTTAAGCATCCTAAAGAGAGAGGATTAGAATCTGCCTTAATGAAGGCAAACCACAGTGAGACCAGCAGAGGGAACATTAGTCTTGAATGGCACCTGGAATTACATTTGGAAGACAAATCCATGGCAAATGCCCATGATTCTGGCCTTTGAGCAGTTTCCCTGGCTGTAACCTTCTTTTCTTACCTGGGAGGATAATAATCAGGTACTTATTAGAGATGGGCACTGCACTGAGCACTTCGCAGACACCACCTCAGGTCATCGGCAGAACCACACCGAGGTGGGTATTGCAGTGCACATGCTGGGTGGCCTCTTTCTCTTTCTCTGTCTCTCCCTGGTGCCAGCCTCCCTAGACTCTAAAGCTCCCCGGGAGGGACTGAGACCAACAGCTCCAGGCAGAAGGCAAGATTAGGAGAAAAAAAATAATCAAGACCACACATTTCGGAATTCCGGAGAAGCAGGTCAAAGTCCCCTGGGCCAAACACGTCTGAGACGGATTCTAAATCAAAGGTCTTTGTTAGTCTTGGTCCTGAGCCTCTCTGGACTCCGGGGAGGTTCCTCGCTCTCACGGGTGTGATTAGGCTGCATCCGCTTGCCTGTGGTGCCAAAACTTCCCTTCAGTGTCTCCATGGATCATAAACTGTTGGTCTGACAGAGACCTTAGAGATTAACTAGCCCAGTCCCTTCAATTTTATACACCACGCATTACCAGTAGTTACTGGCAGAGCCCCTAGGATGTTTTCTCTTTGTCTCAGAACCAGTCATCTTAGCGCCAAACACCGATGTCAGTTATTTCCCTTGATTGCAAAACTCAGAAAGGAAGAGCTGAGATTGATTCCGTCAATCCTCGCCTTTCCTATTTTGTTCCGTCTGCAGTACCCTCTGTGGCAGAGGCATGCTGGGGGTAGGGAGGGGGCAGAGAGCAGAGCGGCGCGTTTCTCCAGTGCTGACAACAGACCCTGCTCTTGCTGCCCAGCCTTCTGCTTCCTCACCGGAACTGCCAGCCCTTCTGCCACATTCAAGGCCAGCAGCCATCCATTTTGTCTGCCAGGCTCCTTATCGGCCGGACCCACCCGCAGCCAGAGCTCAGCTCCTTTCACCTGCTGGCTGCTTATCTGGGACATAGGATGCGTGGAGAACGGCCTGCCATGCAGACAGGAGCCAAACTTTCCTTCGCAGAGCCCCTGCAAATGAAGGTCACGGCCCTGGCATGCTAGGTCTGCCCCAAGGTCTCATGCCCTTCCTCTCCACTTGGGATAGGGCGCACCCCTGCCCTGTGGCTACCAGGGGGCGGCACACAGAGAACAGGTGGGGATGCCTGCAGAAAGTGTGCGAAGTCACTGCTTTTCTGTCCCGGTGGCAAGGAGCTAGCCATCCTCACGCACTTTGCTCATCCTCTTGCAGGACCCTCAAGCGCCTCTGCAGCCTATCTCCTACGCTCCACCCTGCACCCTGCCCTCCACTCCTTTTTAGGAACCAAACCCCTGGTTTGGAGAGCATGGTAGGTTCCCATAGCAATGGGCCTTTTAGCTGTTTCCATGGCAACCAACACCCAGACCATTTAGTTGCTAGTCAACTGACAGCTGTAAGTGAATAGGCTTCAGTTTGGAATCTGAGGGATGGGCCAGGGGATTCTCTTCATAGAAAAAGACCCAACCACCCAAAATGACTCAGCTCTTCTAAGGATGGTATTAGGTAATATCTGTGGAGAGTCCCTGCCACCTTCTACCTCAGGTCACACAACAATGCCCCTTCCCTTCCCAGCACACACACACACACACACACACACACACTCGAGTACCCCACGCTTTTAAATCTTCCAAGCTCTGTTTCCAGTTCTGTCTCCTTCCAAAGGGCCCTTGGGAGAAACACTTGTTCAAGATGACTAGCACCTCAGTGACCTATCTCACACATAACCCTTTCCTCTGCATCAGTGTTCTTCCTGTGAACCGTGACCTTGTCCTCATACGAACCACTTCTCTCCCCAGATCCAACTGTAGTGTTTATTAAATAATTATCCTCAGTAAGCAACCCAGTCATTTAAGCAGTATTTGCTTTTTGGATTATCAGACCTGAATGGCTAATCCTAGATCAGCTTCCCTTGGCCTGGACCTCACCTATGTCAAGTCACTTTTCCTACGTCCATGGGTTTTCTCAGAGAACAGACTTTTATCAACCTTTGCAAAGCATAATTAAGATCAGTCTTAATTGTTTCTTTTAAAAAATCAACTAAGATTTCAAAACCAAATGTACAGGCTTGGAAATTACTCCATGCTTATTGCTTTTCATTAACCCAAAGACCTGACTAAATGTCAGCCCTCCCACCTAACCCTCTCCCAAACTGGAGATACTGGATATCGGGTTCCTTTTATTCTGTAAGCAGGGGTGCTCCTCATGCTTTTTTAATGACCGGAGTCTGGGATTGTTCTGCCCTGGAATTCACGCAAGAGAGGAGCTGTGTCTGAGCCTCCACGGCTTGCTCAGTGGACTAGAAAAGTATGAGACTGTCACTGGAAAGAGCATGACCTTTTTTATGTAGCCTAAGTTTCAGTGCTTCTCAATGCTTTAATGACTCAGGGGGCGCCTATGAACTGTTTGTACAGAAGGCGACCTTTCAAACTAACGCCCCCACGGGAGCACTACCTAGCTCACACGGCGGGCGCTGTGTAGCCTCACAGTGGCTGGTAAACAGTTATAAGCTGTTGCGTGACTTTCCTGCTCTGACTGAAGGGTAGATGCTATCTTTAACATATGAGGGCACAAGTACGGAATGCAGGGCAGGCCGCTGTGAGCCTTGAACGTGCTCAGTGACAGGAGCAGTCTTCTGGGGGTAGGGAGAAAGCCGGCACACATGAGAACTGAGCTGTTTCCAGGCATCTCAAAAAGTTCCATGCAGAGGATGGGCTCATTTTTCTGAGGTGACATATCATCACACATGCGATTGAACCTTCTGATTTTCCTGCTATTTCTAGATAAGAAACAAGGTATACCTCCTAGAATAATAGCTAACATCTACCAACTGTGTACTATGGGCTGGGGGGCATTCTAAGTGTTTTACACACATCAACCTGTTTAGGACCCACAGCCCTGCTGTTTATTATCCCCATTTAACAGGTAAGGGAACGGAAGCAGATAGGTTAAGGGATTTGCAGACTGCACTGGTAGTCCTATGAATTGGTGAAGCCAGGATCCAACTACCAGCAGTCTGAAGTCAGAAACCACAGTAGTTACCCTTCTCTGGAGTCATCCAAGTCTGATAGACCTAGGGCCCATCATGGCGAGACCCATGAATGGGCTGACCCTCTAGACACAACGTGAGAGGGTACACAGAGTATCTCAGCTAAAGAGGACCGTGGTTGAACGGCTCTAGGAATTAACTAGTAAGGCTTGGCTGCTGCTGACTTTATTCCTGATCTATGGCTGTCCCCTGGTGGTTTTCCCGGGAAACTCACAAGCCAAGGAACTCCAAGGCTCTAGTGAAGTTAGTGGGATGAAATGAACTGGACCAAATGACTTACTTGCTGCATAAGCACCCCAATCCAAAAGGGGTGGCCTTTCAAAGTCCACATTCCCCAACTCACCCATGAATAGGGCCATAATACTTGTGACTGCTAAAAGCTGATTGACAGTACACTGATTAAAACAAGCAGCAAAATACATGCCCCATGATTGTATTTGCACTTCAAAAGCAGTGAACTCCAAGATTTAATTAACTTGGCTAGCCATTATTTGCCACAACTTCACATTTCATTTTTAAGCTTCTGGGCTTTCCTCATGGTTAAGGCTCCCAAAAGACTACTATGCTTCACACCAACTTGCAACCTCTTACACTCTGCCCCCCCCACCCCGCCCCCAATTTAGTTCCCTTGACCTTTCAGATGTTATCACTCAACTAGGTGGTATTTGCTTTCACTGCTTCTCTCAAGCACACCTGCTGGTGGTAAGAGTATGCAAAACAGAGCAAAACGATAATGTCATTTTGTATAAAATAGATGGGTAAAGTCTAATTGGGCGAAGAAGGAAGAAAGGGCAGTGTCTGAAAGAGCCATGTCTTTCCCGCACTCCGGGACCATGGGACCGGGTGTCTGCCTTCCACAGATCTGGGGGAAAACACTCTGAACGAAGCAGGTGACCACCACCAACATGCAGAAGACAAGACTGTCAAGTTTTATTTATTTCAAAAGGACATTTCCAGGTGCATAAAGAGGCCACAAGTTAATGTTGTTAAAAAGAAAAAATCAAACATCTGCTAATCAAGTGCTACATTTAATGAAAACCACCTAAGGAGAAAAGGAGACAGGAGATCACCGTAGAGGACTGGCCGCTCCGAGGTGGGTTTCTGTGGTGGACCACCTCCCCTCCACCGAGATGCTGGGCACCACTGGACAGCAGGTCACTGTCGTCGAAGCGGCGGAGCTGGAGCTGCTGGCCCAATGCACTGAACTCCAGGAGGCACTTGGAGATGAACTTGCAGATGTAATATCCCAGGAGGTGGGGGAGGTCTGGGACCCGTCCTCTGCTGCCAGGGCCGATAACCCGAGGGCAAGTTATCCAATAGCCCTACGCAGCCTCATTCGGGTCCTGACCGGCTGGACCCTCCTTATTCCAACAGCAAAAAACACTGAGGACAATTCAATCCATGCCTATCCCTCCCTCTCTCCTTTCCTCCAACCCTTCACAAAAGATATTACAAGGGCAATAGTTCTGAGCTCTCAGGAAACAGGGTCTGGAACCTTCTGGAGGCTGAGAGGCATAAAACAGTGGTGTAGAAATTCCTTTCATCTTATGGCACTGATTTAGGTTAGAATGGATTTCTCCTGTGCTCTCTCACCCCCAGACGGACATACTGGCAGCAAAAGATCTAGCCTTCAATCTGCACTGGGATTTCCCAGCAGAAGAGACGTTGGTCTTTGTCTCCCAGGAGCTCCCACTGAACCACCAGTTTTATCTGGAGAAAGAGAAAAAGAATTGGGAAAAATGAAAGCAGGACCTCGCCTCGATCCAGAACAGGTTTAACTATGAATCCTAATACCAAACTGCCTAATTCCTCAGATCTTTCTTCTTAAATCACACCATCACGAAGGCTGCCTGGGATGTGGGCCCACCTGTGGCCTTAAGCTCAGAAGAGCAAACCAAGTCACATCTGTGATTCGGTGTTCACTGCACCACATACTCACCTCATTAGCTCCTCAGATATAATTTCTAAAGCATTCTTTTCCCTCTTAGATCAATGGTACAAAATGAAGCCTTGCACAGGAGAGAATTTTACATTTAAACAATCTCTTATGTGTTTGGCAATCTGATCCAGCTTTTTCCAAGCATAAACACTTAAGAGCAGAGAGTAGAATGTCAGATTCGTAGGCATAATAACAAAATACCTTGTTACTGGTACTGAAGATGTCAACACACAAAGGATGTCCCTAGAAGTTTATGACTGTATGAATAATTTCTGGAACAATAATGCTTTGTAGCAATATAGCTTCAGTTATACCTTCCTGGAGCTGTGTTTTTTTTTTTTTTAATAATACACCTCATTAGAAATCTCTGCTTTGATCTGTTATACTATGAACTGCCCCTTCTAATTCTTAATAAATCACCAATAATTTTCCAGTCCTTTCTTATGTAGACAGCTGCTTGTTATTAGTTAACTACCTCTAATTTGTACTCAAATGTTTCTTTACAACACATTTGAGTGACCGGGATACCTGGCTTCTCAAACCTTTTAAGTCTTTCAAGACTAGTACACATTGGGGCGCCTGCGTGGCTCAGTCATTAAGCGTTCAGCTCAGGTCATGATCCCAGAGTCCTGGGATTGAGCCCCTGCATCGGGCTCCCTGCTCAGCAGAGAGCCTGCTTCTCCCTCTCCCACTCCCCCTGCTTGTGTTCCCTCTCTTGCTGTCTCTCTCTCTCTGTCAAATAAATAAATAACATCTTTAAAAAAAGACTAGTATATAGTAACTGTTTCACTTAGTGCTTAAATTAACATAGTTTAAGCCGTTTTTCAAATGAAATGTAATTCACTTAACAATAGCTACCATATATGAAGTGCCTACTACGTGGTAGGCCCTAATTAGACATTCCAGGTAAGTGACCAGAGAGTCAGAAATGCCAGTGATTTTATGGATACCCTGCAAATTAATCTACAAACCTGTTCTTGACCTGTAGGGTCTCCGACATCCATTAAACACAGATACCCTCTATTAGAGTCTCTTTGCAATGTTCTTTAATGACTTGCTATTTCTAGAAAATGAATGGCCAGGTTGCTCCTGGGTTCTCCTTAATTTCCTTTCAAAACAATGCAGCTTGTTTTCCTTTATGGAAAACAGGAATCCCTTTACTTCCTCCATTCTTATCAGGATTCCTATCTTTAATATACGCCCATTCCAACAGCTTCTGCCTCACAAGTGTCTGGTAGAAAAAGAAGTAGGTATAGCAGGGTGAGTCAGAGGGGAAGGTAGGGGCTGGAGATGGATGCAGGAGAGAAAGAAGTGTGTGGAAAAAGTGACCTCTCTGCTCTGGAGCTGGGACATTACTGCTCTCTTAAGGGATTAACGGAGAAACCAGAATTTTTTGGTAACAACTTGACATCTTGAACTATTTGATACCTGCTTAAAATCTTTTAACAGTGCACAGGTTTGGGGGTCACAAGGCCTGGCTCTAGATCTAGATGTAATATTTCTGAGCCTATTGCGTAACATCGGAAGCTCAAATTTTGTCATTCATAAAACAGACATAATATTGCCTCAGCAAAGGGTGGTCATGAGGATCCAGGGAAACACTGTATATCAAAATGGTATCAAGAGGTGACAAAGAACAGAGGGGCATGGTGAAAATTATCTGTCTTACCTCAGGATTCCTAACACTCCAACTCATCTCCTCCTCCTCAGCCCCCAAGCTTCTGCTTCTTCATCATAGAGAGATGAAGGACTCCGACCCCAATCTTTTCTTTCTGCCCCCTCTCCTCAGATTTCTCATCTAGTCATAGGCCTTCAGCATCCTGAACGACAAAGTCACTTACAGTGGGGTACTCATTCTTCACTGGTAGTTTATTCAGGTAGCTGTAGGTCTTGTCTTTTTGGATGGGGCAGTTGATTCCACTCTTACAACCATCAGCCTCAGGAATGGGAAAGGGCACTGGGACACCCAACACGATGCCATGCACCACGGCTTTGCTACTTTGAGACGGAATATCTAAGAGGAACAAAAGAGAATCAGATAGTGAAGGGAACAGCCTATACTAAACCCTAAGTAAAAAATTCAGATATGTTCCCAAACAACGGCATTGCTAGGATAACAAATCATAAAGTCTGTACTTCTTAATTCCTAGAGTCTATTTCTCTTCGTAGTTATGCTTAATACCTCTGTGAATGCTACAGAATAAGTATTCACTCCAAAAAAAAAAAAAAAAAAAAAAGGCAACCGAGAGGGTTATTTTCTTTGCTCTCACCCCCACCTTGCTCTTCATCGTCTTTCAGTTTCTAAGGAGAATCAGAGCTACATAAATAACCTTATCCAACAGAGTGAGTTTTTTGGCAGTAAACTTTCTGTTTATTAATTATATCAGCTTCTGTCAAAGTGTACAGGGTATCTTACAGAGTTTTAGAAGGTTGGTTTCTGAATTCTCAAATGACCAGCCCACAGGATTCCATTAGAAATTAAGAACAAAATGGAAACGAATCTCCACAGAATTGCCATGGGCTGTAACAGTAAGAGATAAGCCTTTAGAAACTGGCTAAGATTAGAAAGAAGAGGTACATTTCTTGCTATCCCTCTACCCTCCATATCATAAGATGGGCAGGGGGAATAAATACAATAAAATTAGGGCAACTAGGGTTATGAGCTATTAGGTTATCCTGCAGATCCAGAATATTGGCTGTTTGTTTCTTTCTGGTTTGGGGATTACTTTTGTTTAGAAGGCACATTTTTGGTTTGGGACAGTAGAGGTGGCAGGGTATCATCCAGGAGAGAAAACAACTCTAGTATTTAGAGTTGTCTTTAGGCTTGAGAACAGAAGATGACAGGAACTTTGAGATTTCTTATTGGACTGCCCCGTCTAGTTCCACAGGATAGAAAGTAAGGAAAGGATTCATGGTAGATGCCCTTTCTAGAAATGAAGCTCAGATTTTTTTTCTTGGGTCCCAAATGGATTCCTTAAACCTTATAGAAGGTAAGTCTGAGCTTTGCACAGTTTGGAAGGGAGGTCACAGATGTCCTGACTGCATTGCCCCTACCGCACATCCCCACGCTCATTCCAATACTTGAGACTGTTGTTAGGCTTCAAGATAAACTTGAAGGCCAAGAGCCACTTTTACTCACTACTGGTGAAGGTGACATTGACACTGTAAGACTGGCCTTTGTGCAGTTTGCAGGGCTGGGTGGGGCATGGGTTCACATTCAGTTCCTTTATAACTCCAAGCCCAGAACCTGTTAAAAAAAAAAAAAAGAAAAATGAATTGGAATAGGAGGGAAAATAAACCACCTATGCTGGCGCCTACCTAATGGGAAGGTGCTCTGCTCTCCAAGAAACTCTTCGTATCTGACGGCTGAGAATGAATAAAATCAGTTAAGTATAAAAAGGCTGCTCCACTGCTCTAGATCCTGGGAGGGCTACACCAGGGAAAGTCATCCCCACCCCTCCTCCCATCCCCCTGTAGGATTTAAAGCAGCACACACATGGCACAAGTGATGGCTCAAGCCTCAGGCCTGCCCTATCCACTTAAACTCTTGAGACTGGCTGCTCCTGAACTGCCCCCCACCCCAATGTCCTTCAGATCCTGTCCTGGTTTTGCTCCAAACTGGTGGTCGACCAGCTTTGTATACCCCTACCAGTGAAAGCAATTTTAAGAATGCATCTGCAGTATACAGGCTTACACTCCACTTTGGAAACATGTGTTCTTCAAAATAAGTGTCTCTGAGACCGGGTGTGTGTCTTTGCAGTCTAAACAAAGACAAAAGTGCTGTTTGTTCCCAATAAATGCTTGACCTAAACAGGTTAAGTAAAATTTTTAAAAATCCCACTGCCTCATCCAGGCCCCTGAAACTGGACAGCTGAATGGAGAGAATGCAGGCAAATTGCCTGTTAACACCACCTATGCCATGGAAAGCTTTTTTTTTCCCCCAGAGATTTTATTTATTTATTTGACAGAGAGAGAGAGAGAGCACAAACAAGGGGAACAGCAGGCAGAGGGAGAGGGAGAGGGAGAAGCAGGCTCCCTGTTGATGCTCGATCCCAGGACCCTGGGATCATGACCCAAGCTGAAGGCAGATGTCCAGCCGAGCTACCCAGGTGCCCCCCGCCCCCCCCCGAAGGAAAGCTTAAGCTCAGCCATCATGGCTAAGAGGTAGGCTCTGGGACCTGACACGGGTTTGCAATCTCACAGGCTCCATGACTTACTGAGAAACCTCAAAACAAGATACTTCACCCCTCTGGGGAAAATAACAATGACTGCCTCACAGGGTAAGTGAGGTAACACACTTAGAGCTCTTAGATAAGTGTTTGCAACATAGTAGTGCTATGTTCATTTTATTGTAACAAGTAAGTGTTCATTTTATTACCATCACATGGGATTCAGTCCTCGAATTTAGTCTAGAACAGTTTCTCCTGGGTGGGTTGGCAAGTTCCTTTTTGACACAAAAGGTGGGCCTCTCCTCTGCAGTCACCAGGTTAGCTTAGCCTATAGGATATGAAGAGAAGCTCATGTAGATGCACTTGGCTTTTTCGGCCTGTGCCTGCTCTTGGGTGGGACAGTTTCATCATACAGACCAATACTGCTCCAGCTAGGTCTGTAAGTAAGAACTTGCTGTCCCTCATCCGCAGCATGCTTCTCCATCATGGGCAAAGTTCTCAAAATACACCTGCAAGAATTCTCTTCTTCAAGCACTGTCTTCCACTGTCCTATCTTCTACAGACAGGAAAAAAAATATCGGGAACTTGAATCAACAACCTACTGAAAATCAGTGCTTATGCTAGAGCTTTCAACATCCACGTCTACCTGCTTCTTTCCAGGCTGGGTCACGTGATCTAGTAGGACCTGAGGAAAGGGTAGTACTTGTAGCTCCCTCATCCAGTTTTACTGAGAAGAGGTGCTTGGACTTTCAATGTCCACAGAACAAACTCCTCAGTCCTAACTGGCAAAAACAGCAAAACCAGTTTGCTTGGTCCCATTGCTTACTTGAGGAAATACCACTCCAGGGGAAAGGGTCGGTGGTAAAGTGGAACTCAACTCGAAAACCCTTTGATGTGGGCGCTGAAGTTTTTACGTTATTTCCCAATTCAGAAGTCAATTGAAAATCTGTAACTGAAACCACCCCTCCCTTAAGAAGTTCTTGCCATAGGTGGACATCTGCTTTTTTCAAATGAGTAGAACAGTATCTGGATTTGCTTTCCATAGTTGTTGTTGTTGTTGTTTTAATGTTAATGTTACCACTGAAACCCAAAGTGGTTCACAAACCCCCACTAATTTCCTACTCCTTACTAGCTGTGAGAACTTGGAAAGTTACTCCATGTGCCTGATTCCTCATCTGTAAAACAGATCCTGAGGGTTGAACGAGTTAACAAAGTTAATATAATATCTTCATCCAAATTTGGCCACTAAGTTTAATGGAGGGAAAGGCAGTAATTTGAAGTGATAATACCATCTTTCAAGTGCCAGCAATTCAGTGGAACAGCATTTGTTAAGTATTAAGAGGCCAGCAGTCTTTACTCCTTAATCAATCCTGTCCCCTCGCCTAACTTTGCTTTTGCCTCAACATGAATTTTGATGATATAGTGGAGAGTATTTATTCCCTCATTTACTTTTTCAACAAATATCTGTTGAGCAGTTACTATCACCTGGGCACTAGATATAAAGGATCAAACTTATTCTCGTTCCCACTCTGCTGGGTGACTTTGGGTAATTTATCCAACATCTCTGGAATTCAGTGATTGACTCCAGGATCTCCAAGTTTCCTTCCAGCTCACTGATTCTATCAAATGTCTTCTTTCATTTACCATTGCACCTTTTCACTTCAGGAAAGTTCTGCTCGAACGAATAATTCCATAGACTTGACTCACTATTTCGTATCCGCCCCTCCCCCCATTGTATTTCCCAACAAAGATCCCTACCACAGCGGCAAGGGGAGGTTATGTGTCACAAGCTGTGACCAGCAACACGAGTTTTATATGTAGGAGGAAACAGTGATTAAGGATCACAAAATTATATAGCCCAAAGGAAGTGGTAATGGAGTAAATCATGAAAGGGAGAATTAACTTTTGACTTGTCAGCAAAAGGGAAATTAAAAATAAAAGCAAACGGCGTGGGGAGAGAGAGATCATCCAAGATACAAGGCATATATAAAAAGAAGTTCTGCGCCCCACCGCTCACAACCCCGCGCAGCGTTGGGACCTTCAGTTGTCTGCTCTACAAACTTTAGGAAACTTCAGCAAAAGGCCCAGCTCTAGGAAATATCCAGGGACTCCAACCACGCGTCTCAGGAAAGAGACAAAGTTGCGTGCCGTTGGGTTTCGCCGCCCGCACCTTCTCCCCGACCCCTGCCCACTCCAGCCCACTCCACGTCGAGTCCGCGGCTGAGCCTGGCCGCCCGCGGGACCCGCCCAACCTAGCGGGGGGTCTCGGCGCGGGGCTCCCGTGGGGGCCCCTGCAGAAGGCGCGGGAATCTCGGGCACGTTCGGGCTCACCGCAGTCCTTGAAATGCACCGGCTCCGCCAGGGCGGAGGCGCCGAGCGCCAGGAGCAGGAACGCGGCGACCAAGAAACGCATCGCAGCTAAAAAGATTCCCAGCGCGAGGAAGGAAGATGCGACCGCCTCAGTCACAAGATAAACCTGCCGGGGCGGGCCGGGGGAGGAGCTCGGTCAGGCCACTCGTCACCAGCAACCAGGGCTGGGCCTGCCCGCGCCCCGCCCCCTGGTCCGGCGAGCCTTGCTCGGCTCGGTCCCGCCCAGACGCCAGCTATCTCCGCCCATCTTGTCCGCTCCGCGGCCCCGCAGGCTTGGATCCATCTCTGCCCCGCCCGCTCCTTGCTCCGGCGCTCCGCCGGGTTTTGTTGGTGCGCCCTCACTTCCGTAAATGGGAGCATTTCTAGCCAATCAAATCCCTTCTCCTCTAGCACCACCCAATAGGTATGCTCGGAGGCGGGGTCTCTGTAGGTCCCGCCTCCGAAGGCCCGGGTGGAGAAAGGGATTGGGGCGACGTGAGGGGCGGGGTTTGTGGAGGAAGATGGCTGCGGTCCGCCGGTTATCTCTAACGACCGCGGCGCTGAGGACGGTCGGTCCTTGGGCAAGGGGCAGGTACGAAGCCTACGACAGCACCTGGGAAGGGTGTTAAGAGGCGCATAACTAAGGAAGGGGGGGAACTAAGGCCTGCGGGAGGCGAGGGTTTGGCGTGAGGCTGTCCAAGTGGAGGTCGTCAGGTTTGCCGTGAGGCTGTTCAGGTAGAAGTCACCAGGTGCCCCTCTGCTCCCGGGCTCATCCTCCTCCGTTGTGCAGCAGGCTCCTCGCGGCCTCTCGCGGACCTCAGGCTCGTCGGGAAGCGTCGTCCTCCAGCCCCGAGGCCGGCGAAGGGCAGATCCACCTCACCGCCAGCTGTGTCCAGGTAGGAGGCCGGACGCGGGGCGGCGGTACCGGGGAGAGGGCCAGGAGTGCAGGGACTTCCCCTTGCCTTGGCCCACCCTTCTTGCCTGGCATTCTTGATCCCCCTTTTTGCATTTCAGAGACTTCTGGAAATCACCGAAGGGTCAGAATTCCTAAGGCTGGAGGTGGAGGGAGGTGGATGCTCCGGATTCCAATACAAATTTTCACTGGATACAGTTATCAACCCCGACGACAGGCAAGAAGGAAGGGGTGGGTCCTCAGAGAATGTGTGGGAGGGATAAAGCACGTTTATTTCAAATTTAAAAGGTTTGCTAAGAACGCCTGACACCACCCTCTTCACACAGTGGGAATACAGTGAAGATTTGTTGTCATGATTCAGAATAACTATGTTATAGGAGGAAAGTTGGCCTGCCTAGGTCCGTAGTGTAGAGTTAGGCTGGACTGGATTCCACGCCTAAATCCCTAAACATTTACTAGTATTATTCCATTGACTCTTTTTGCCTCAGAGAAAAGCAGCACCTGTTAGATAATAAGGAATGCTTCTCCTGTATTTGGAAAAACAGGATGTGCACCCCAGGGCTCAGAGAGTGTTATGGTCTTGGTGGTTATGATAGTCATTAATGTCTTCCTCCTGTCTTTTTCAGGGTATTTGAACAGGGTGGGGCAAGAGTGGTGGTTGACTCTGATAGCTTGGCCTTCGTGAAAGGGGCCCAGGTGGACTTCAGCCAAGAACTGATCCGAAGCTCATTTCAAGTGTTGAACAATCCTCAAGCACAGCAAGGCTGCTCCTGTGGATCATCCTTCTCTATCAAACTTTGATGCTGTGCTCGCTTCGGCAGCACATACACAAACTTTGATGTGATGACAGGTGACCCAGAGACTGCTACCACTTGTACCAATCTGAGGAACCTGGGATTAGTAGAATTCTAGAGGTTTCCTTCCAATCATGTCCTACTCTCAATTTTATTTCCCTCAGTTCAGGAGTATTGTGTTTTGCCACTATTTTCAGAATATGAAGCTTTTATTCTCGATCTATTTTCACTCACACATTTCTAAGGCCAAGCCTCTAGGTGCTGTGATCTGAGATCTACTAACTGGTTGAAACCCACCCAGTATAACCTGTAAAGCCTCCAAGGTTCCAAAATTTGGAGTCACTTCTCACTTCAGAGTTGCTTGTACATAGGTATATAGCTATGTATAAAAGCTTCATTTTGAAGAAAGTCCTTATTTACTTGTGTTCTGGATCAGGATCACAGATTGGGTAACTTGAACACTGGTTACTAGGCTAGAGAGGATGAGAAAGGCAAAGGGAAGTTTCTCTTTTTCATCTCATTCTTCCTGAATGTGCTAGTGGACGCCCTTCTTTTTCTTTCTTTTCTTTTCCCCCACATCCTTATTTTCTGTGCTGCCCATTCTCCACTTCCCATTTGTTAGGGTAGATACATTTTCCTCTCTTAACTTTCCAGTCTGCTAGAGTCACAAAACCAGTAGTCCATCGTCCAGGAAACTTGGATCTAACCCCCACTGATAACCTGAATCATTTGAAAAATAGGCCCCATACTCCATACTCAAACAGACATTTCAAGATTCTGTGATGATTCAGTGACTCTTTTTAGGATATGTTGCTTTACTTACCTTATGGTGTAAAATGTCTTTGGTGTTATGCATAGCAGGAAGTGGTCCCTTTGTTGATATAGATAATGGATAGGGATTTTCTTTCAGGTTGGATTGCCAGATAAAATGCAGGATGCCCAGTTAAATTTGAATTTCAAATAAATAATTTTTAGTGTGTGTCCCAAATATTTCATGAGACATATACTAAAAATTATTTGTTTATCTGAAATTCAAATTTAACTGGGCATGTGCATTTTTATTTGTTAAAGCTGGCAACTTTATGTTAGAGTCACTGAAAGAAAAGCTTTTTAAGCCACAGATTCCAGTGAATTTTAAAGTATTTGTTTGGGTGTGACAGTTAGGCTACAGAGCTAGTGATAGTTATGGCAAGTGTGTGACAGTGCTGGGGGGCCGGAACTGCATGGACAGATGACTAAAAAAAGACAGAAATACCACCACCATGACAAATGATTTATTAATGCTCATATGGGGAAACTACCACCAAATTGATTCTGGAAAAATTATTGGTTAAACCCTTGTTTTCCTCAATAGCCTAAAAGTTCATTACAACAAAAACTTGTATTTCTGGACTGGATTGGAATTAAGGTCATTCAGCAAAAGAATTTACCATTAAAAAGGGAAATGCAGAGTTTAGAGACAAGATATCTGAGACAGAAGCTTAGGTACTTATATTTCAATATGGGAAAACCTAGGATTTAGAGAAAGCAAACCTATTGTGTGTACAGTGTGTACAAAGAGGAAGGAGGGGACACTTAGAAACCTGACCTTTCTTAGCAGATTTCCATGGGAGGGGGCAGAAAACAGCATATCCTGGGAGCATCTGTTTAACTTTACTAAGACATTTAAAGTTGCTGCCAATACCTGGGCCTAATAAGATTTTCAGCTCAGACTAAGTCTTTTCATCCTCTTTTCTTTTTTTAAAGATTTTATTTATTCATTTGAGAGAGAATGACAGAGAGAGAGAGAGAGCACATGAGAGGGGGGAGGGTCAGAGGGAGAAGCAGACTCCCCGCTGAGCAGGGAGCCTGATGCGGGACTCAATCCCAGGACTCTAGGATCATGACCTGAGCCAAAGGCAGTCGCTTAACCAACTGAGCCACCCAGGTGCCCCTCTTCATCCTCTTTAAAAGGAGATTTTGCTACATTTTAAATGTTAGAACGTACTGTTTTAAAGAGTGCGCTTTATTTTATTTATTTTTTAAAATAATCTTAACACCCAACACGGGGCTTGAACTCATGACCCTGAGATTAAGAGTCACATGCTCTACTGACTGAGCCAGCCAGGTGCCCCATAATTTTGTGATTTTAAAACTCATGCAGAGCACAAGCTTAATTGCTTTAGTTGCCAAAATAACCATTAAATTGCAGTGGTCAGTTAGATAGGAACAGAGTCCCTTTGAATGCCTATATGTAAGTACCTGCTGTTAATGGGAGAATAGGAATTCTGTGTTTTAGAAAAGGTGGGTTTGGGAGAAATCACCTTTATCACACTGAGAAAGCCGCATGGGAAAATCCTAAGTAGTAATAAGAAGCTTCCATTGGAGTAGGGTGATGTAGAAATTTTAAGAGCATAGAGCATAGAGAAATAACAGCATCAAGGGGCCAGCGGGCAATTCGCTTGGGATAAATAGTATAGTAAAAGAGGGTTAGGGTCTTTTGCAGGCCCTGTATGACCAGATGCCCTCTTTCTGGTAAAGATCAGCGGATGTTTTCACAAATTTTGCTCACTGTGCAAATTCATTTAGGAAAACTTTTATACTCTTCTGGTATCCATTGGAAGATTTTTTGCTTCCCCATTACTTTCAAGGGGAAAGGCCTTATTGTTGCAGGATTGGTTTTATTTTTTATGCAAGTTAGAGAGTGGGGGCAGCATACCCTCCCTTTGCCTTAGTAAGACATAATGCAAGAACCAAAGGCGAGGGAGCCCTGCATCTGCTTTATGTTGTGAATCTGCGTTTTTTGTTTGTTTGTTTGATGTTATTCATTTGAGAGAGAGACTGAGAAAGAGCAGGGGAAGGGGCACAAGCAGACTCCCGACTGAGCAGGGAGCCCAATGTGGGGCTGGATCCTGGGACTCCAGGACCATGCCCTGAGCTGAAGGCCGGTATTTAACCGACTGAGACACCCTGGACTCCTTACATATTTAGATTTTTTTTTTTTTTTTGATGATTTTATTTATTTGAGAGAGCAAGAGTGGGGGCAGGACAGAGGGAAAGGGAGAGGCAGACACCCCACTGAGTAGAGAGCCTGAAGCGGGGCTTGATTCCAGGACCCTGAGATCGTGACCTGAGCTGAAGGCAGACGCTTAACCAACTGAGCCACCCAGGTGCCCTTGTGAATCTGCTTTATGTTGTTGGCTCAAAGCAGGGGGCCTCTTAGTCAATGTCCAGATTTTACCTTGTGGAATCGTATTCTTCAGTTATGTGATTGATAGTGACTAGTGGTATGTGAACTGGAGGTGTCCCACCCACCCTTAGTTTCTTTCTGTGGGAATGTCGACAGATTACAAGGGATTAGGAGAAAACAGGTTTAGAAGTAAGAGATTAGGAAGGGCTACTAAATAAAGTAGGTGTCCAAGAAGAACTTTCTAACTTTTCTAACTTCTGAGAATTGAAACCCGTTATTTCAGTCTTCTGTATAAAGCTCTGAGGGGAGGGTTGACATTTGGCAGGAGCATCCTGTATAGAGAAGTGGGCAACACTGATTGTATGGTGTAGCCCTCCCTTAAGTGCTGGCCGAGAGTGGATAGCATGCCGCTGGTAGTGTGCAGGACCTAACATTGTCCACTGCAACATAATTAATGGTTTTGTATGTTTGTGTCAAAGGCAGGAAATTCCTCTACTTTTCTAGGTACCTAGCAGTGGTGTTTATGATTGCTCTTTTAAAATCCCTGTTTGCCATTTCTCCACAGAAATGCTACAGGGCTGTTTAAAGGAGTTTGCTTTAGGAAGTTTTGAAATAATTATGTGGCTTTAATTGTCAGATAAATATATAAAGAAGGGAGCATTTAAGCAGTCTATGGCCAAAGCTGTATTTAAAAATATTTTATTTTTTGGAAAGGTAATACACATGGTACAAAATTCAAAAAGACACAAAAGGGGATACAGTGAAAAGTCTTCCAATCCTGTACCCATCCACCCTGTCACCCTCCCCATAAACCACTGTTGTTTCTAAGAATTTACCCTATAGGTATAATTCCATAGATATAATGTGAAATAACATATACACAAGAATATTCATTATAGCATTACTTATAATAGCAAGAGATAGGAAACAATGGAAATGTCCATCAATAGGGGACTGACTAAATAAATTATGATTTATCCATTCAGTGGAATAGTATACAGTTATAAAATAGAATGAGACAGTTCTTTATGTGCAAGTCTGGATTAAGTGAAAAAAGCAAAGTGCAGAACAGGCGTAGGATGCTATTTGTGTTTTTGATACAAAGAAATACGTGTATGTGAATGAAGTTTTTCTGGGTGAGCAGGAAGGTGAGGGTTGGGAGGAGGCGTAGCGCCAGCGGGTAATGGAAGAGTGGTGAGCAGCTCTCTGAACCATGGGGTGTGAGGCAGAGTGGCCAGGATGAGGTCAGCAGATACCCAGTTGTCTTCCCCCTTTCTTTAGACAAATAGCAGCACATGGTCCACTTTGTTACACAGCTGCCTTTCCCCACTTAGTCTGTTTTGGATTTCTTATCAAGGTATTTAGAGCCTTTTTTTGCTTTCATTTTTAGGCCTCCGTAGCAACTAATTGCTTCTAATCTTTTGCTGTTACAAGTAATGCTATAATAAATAACCTCTTACATGTGTTCACATTTGGTGAGAATACATCTGAAGGTTAAATTCCTAGGAGAGTCAAAGAGTAAGTGCTTTTATAATTTCGAAAGACATTGCCATATTATCCTCTTCAGAAGTTGTGTCAGTTTAAGCCCCTGTCAGCTGTGTATGTGAGTCCCTCTTTCACCAGATGCTTGCCAACTAGGAGTCTTAACGAACTTCTGATCTTTGCCAATCTGAGAGTTTTAAAAGTGTGTCTCGTGTGGTTTTAACTCGCATTTTTTTTGTTATGAATATTTTCATATGTGTAAGAACTACATAGTTTTGTCTGCTGAAAACATCTCAACCAGTATAGTGACATAGAGCAAATTGTTTAAACTCTGTGTGTCTCCATTTCCTCATCTATAAATTGGGAATAGAAATAGTGGGGTTGCTGGATGATTAAATGAAATTTGTGTTGAGCACTCAATATAGTGCCTGGCACATAACAAGCATTCAATAAGTTATTATGGGACGGCTGACAATTAGAGCAGCAGGTAGGACAGGACAGATTAAGAAAACAGTATTCATCTCCACGTCTTCAGGCACATGGAGTCTTGTTCAATTACATTGCCTTTCATCAGACAAATGCAAAGGCAGAGCTTTCCTTGTCTTAGAAGAGTAAAGAACCTTTTCCCATTGGATCCCAATCATAGGCTATCGGCAGAGCTGGCAAAAGGATAGGCACAGCCTCATGTCTAATATTTAGACTTAGCCAACATGGTAAAGAAATTTGGTTTAATATGAAATAAAAACAAAAACAGGAGCCCAAATGTACATTTCTTTATTCCACCATGGTTCTAAATTCCTAGCTGGCCAAGGATGGAGTGGGTCTCTCCTTATAAACTGAGAGGGATGCCAGATCCCATTTTTGAAAGAAAGACAGCAAGGGCTTCTGAGTAGAGAGAAGAAAACATGGGAAGTCTGGCTTCCCCTAAACCAGACCGCTGTATTTCACAAGCTAGAAAATAGACCCCTTTATTTTTAGTACTTCAAACTGGTATCCACAAAAGGAGAGCCCAGGAGAGATTTGTGTCCTGTAAGAAGCGGTGTGTATTTAATATAGGTCTTGGGAGGCGGGCCCCCGGCCTGTGGCAGCCTTGCTGTGGTTGGTGCAGGGAGCTGTCGCGGGTAGATTGCGAATGTTTACCCAAAGCTACTGAACATTTTCTTTAGCCTTGTTGAAAGCCTTGGCTCCCCCTTCCTTATCACCTCCCCATATTTTTCATATTGCCCTCTTGCTGCGTTCTCAGTCTCGTGCTCCCCTTCACTTGCATCTCTCACACTCAGCAAGCTACAGTCAGTCTTGCTCCTCTGAGATGAGATCTTCCGGCCCTGCCTGGGGCCGCAGAACTGCTACAGGATGGACATGTGGCAAAATCTGGCCCAGAGAGATTGGCTGAGGTGCTGGTTCTTGGGAGGAGGCCTTGGAGTCACTCCCCAAACTTACCCCAATCCTTTTTTGCTCAAGAGATACTGAAGGACCATACCTGGGCAGATGTAATCTCTGACCCAGTTGTGGAATCATCAGGATGTTATGCGGATCGTGACTGGGAAGGGTGTCTGCAACGTGAGGCCGAACGACCTTGCATGTTCGCACAGCTTGAGCGGGTGGATGAGGGCCATCCTTCGGTGAGCATTCCCTAGCAAGGCCAGGACAGGTGGCAGACTCATCCTCATGGCTGGTGGCTGAAGCATGAAAGCATTTGGTGGTGTTTGAGCCAAGCAAGGGCATGGCAGCATGAAGGCAGTGACAGAAGCTCACAGCCAGGGCCTAAGCTGGGAGAGCTGAAAGGCAGGCAGGGCTGGCTGGGAGGCTGGGCTGCAGGGCCTTCTGCCTGCTTCTTCATGGTGTCTTCCCAGCTAGGAAAGCTTCCTCCAGGCCCCTGCCTGTGGCTGGGGCCCATTTCCAGGTAGCTGTCCACACCCACCCCTCACTGCTACTCCTTGGCAGTGCAGTGTGGGGGCCCTGCCTCGGCCACATAACCTGGGGAGCAGTGGCAGCGGTAGGAGCCCTCGGTGTTCTCGCAGTGGCCATGGGCACAGAGTGCAGCAGGCCCGTTCAAGTCATCACACTCATTCACATCTAAGAGGAAGGGAGGGAAGAGAGCGCTGTACGGAGCCCGGGTGCCTCTGCTGCTGTGGCACTAAGCTCTGGCCCCTGCCCAGCAGTGGAATCCTCCATGTGGCAGGTGGAAGCAGAAGTCACTGCCCAAAACTAAGCTTCTCAGAGACACAGAGCAGGTGGTAGTGAACCTGTACTGTGCCCCTGAGAGTGACCGTGCTCCCCTGTCCCTTTCCTCTGCCTAGGAATCTCCATGAAAGGGTTTTCCGTACCCAGCCAGAGACCCTCCTTTGGCACGTTCTCACCGCTTGGCCTGGCTCCAGGACGCCACACTAGGGGGCAGCAGTGGGTTTCCCAGCCACCCTAAGTTCAGTCATGTATTTCTAACTGAGCAGTGGGGCTGGTCTGACCTTTCCACCTGGAGCCATCAGGGTCCTCCTGCTCCCTGGGCGTTGCCACTCAGATCAACACTTACCCACACAGGCCATGTGGGCCATGTCCAGCTGGAAGCCCTCAAAGCAGTCACAGGTGTAGCCCTCCCTCACGCGCACACAGCGGCCATTCTCACAGCCGTTCAGGACGCCGCATTCCTCTGCCTGCAGCCCTTCGAAGCCAGCCTGGTGCTCTGGTAGGAGGGAGTCAGAGAAGGAAGCTGAGGCCTTGCCCCCGACCCTGGGGCCCTCACCCTCCACCACGAAGTGTTGCTCCTGTTGAACTCCTAAGGTTAGGGCTGGGAGGATCTGAACGCCTCACGGAAAGCTGCTGAAATAAAAGGCTGTACCCTTAAGAAATAAGTATGTGTCATTGCTTACGGTGGCAGAGACATGCTGTGCTTTAAATGTCAGCTCCAGGAAGGCTGAGACTCACTACTTTCACAGTGCTGGGGCTCCCGAGCAAGTGGGTGTCTACAGTTTTGATTTTGTTGTGGTTGGTGGTGGTTAAAATCTTTGCATGGTTTTTATGTGGGGAGGAGATGGGCAGCAAGAGGGGATTACCCTCACTCAACGCAAAGCAGAATTTAGGGATCTGCTTGAATCTCTCCTCTCTAAGCAGCTCCCAACCCCTGAGAAAGACCCAGCCCGTAATCCCCGTGCAGCCTTAGTCTGACGCAGGGGCTGTGCCCGTGGCAGCGACATCCATCACACAGGTGCCAGGTCTGACTTCTTAGAATCCCAGTCCTGCATTCTGCGGTCATTGCCACTAACAAACCGAATCACCATAGCAGGCCTTTAAAGTGATTAGAAATCGTAATGCACATTTCAGGTGACAAGTGTGAGCTCGTAGAGCAGGTTATTTTGCACACTGAGTGGCGTGGAGGGAGAAACACAGAGCGGAGTGTATCTGCTTTCCCTTGTTCTCCCAACTCCCTCAGGGAAGCTTTTGAGGTTGAGGTGGTGTCCTGTACCTCTTTGTGTCCCCTGTGCCAGTTTATCAGAGAGAGTTGTTAGGGTCTGACCCGGGCATTTGGAGTTGGCCCTTGAGTGACCTGAGAGGGCTCGGTGGGTCTTCCCCTCTGCGGCCCTGCCCTGCCGGCAGTGATTAGTGGGTAGAGGAGGCAGGAGGAGTGAAACCGCTGCGGGGCCCACCGCTTCCCCATGTGGGTGGCAGCACACACCTGGCCCGCTGGCCACAGAGTGGGGCTGGAAGTCCGAGGGCTGCAGGGGTGACTCAACAACTGGTGTGTGGGCCCCGGTGTGGCTGGCTGTGTTGGGGAAGGGTGGCTCTGGGATGGTGTCCTCAGGGCCCAGGTAGTTGTAGAAGGGGGCCCCCTCGGGGCCGTAGAGGCTGTAGTGCAGGTCCTCGGGCCCAGGGCCGTACTCATAGCCTGGCCGGAAGTGGACCCCCGCCTCCCGCTCCGCTTCAATCCGGGCCACGTTGCACAGCTGAGCATAGACCTCTGTCAGGGAGGAGGGAGACAGGAAGCTGCCAAGTTCCTGCTAGCTAAAGCCTGGTGTGCTGTCCCCCAGCTTACTGCCCGGGGCGAGGGAACATGCTGGGACTGGTCCCCTCCGGTAGCTCCCGGCTGTGCTCTTTCCCCCCCACCCCGGCCCCCAGCTTTGTCCCCAAGCAATAGGGATGGAAGACAGGGCCACACTCTGATTGCTCTACTTCTAAATCCCTCCCTCCAAGGTGAGTGCATTCCCTTCCCTAGGGCCCCTCCCTCTGAGCAGGCACGGGTCACCCTTCTCACCAGAGCTCCTGGGGGGGCAGAGGGCACACTGCTGGCTCCAGGCCTCGCCATCCTGGCAGCAGCATTCTGTGTAGGTGGTGCGGCGCCCGTGCAGGGGTTGGCTGCACATGTAATTGGTGACTCTTTTCCAGCAGATGTCCGTGTGGATGTCGTGGTCAGGCAGGTCCTCTGGTGGCACAGGGCCCAGAGGCACGTGAGCCCTCCCAGCCCAGATCCAGTCTCCCTGCGGCCCCACCACTCCAGGCCTACTGACCCGTGCTACCGGTGCTGTTCACGCAGCGCTGCTGGCTGAGGTCCAGGGTGAGGGGGGGGCTGCAGAAGCAGTGGAAGGAGCCTTCGGTGTTCACACACTCACCATTCTCACAGGCCATGTCCTGGCACTCGTCGTGATCTGGGGTGGCAGAAAGAATGAAGGAATGTGTGGGGCAGAACCAAGGCAGCTTGCCCACGGGACATCTTCGTGGAAGGAGGTTTTCTGGTAACTGATAATGAAGAGTAGCACCCTGCTTCCCCCTCCTCCCCTGACCCAGCCCAGGCTGTGAGGCACCTCCCCAGGGATGCCTTTCTGACAGGGGCTCACATGCAAGCCCTGACAGCCCCACAGCTCCCCTCGGGCTGTAGCGGAACCCCCCCCCAATCCTGCACTGATGGGGCCAGCTGGGGGTGGGCGTGGGGGCGGGGAGGGGTGGTGTACGTCCTCACCCTCACACTTCCTGTGGATGGCATCGTAGTGGTAGCCGGGGTTGCACAAGCAGATGTAGCCAGGCACTGTGTTGAGGCACCGGCCGTTCTGGCAGAGACCAGGCCCAAACATCACACACTCCTCTGCATCTGTGGGAGGGCAGAGATGAGGGGAGAAGCTGGACGAAGCAGAACTTAAGACGAGGGGCTCCAAAGCCAGGCTCCCTGGGTGGGAATCCTGGCGTTGCCACTTGCTAGTCCGGTGACTTTGGGCAACTGAGTTCTCCTTGCCTCCGTTTCCTACCTGAAAAATGTGGGTACTATGACTTAACCTCTTATCACTGTTAGGAAGATTAAAAGGTTAATATAGGTAGGTGCTTACATAGTGCTTGGCACATAGCAAGCACTTAAGGAAAGCCACTTCTGTTTCTATTCTATTTCTGTCTCCAGCTTCAGGATTAGGGCACCGAAGGGCTCATACCTCACTACCCACTTTGAGTGTGGGTTCCCCAAAGTTTCTGGCTTGGTAAGTGGGGCCAGGGGGATAAGCAGCTATCCCTGTACAGCAGTACTCCCCACCCTGACTCTGTGCCCCATGCCTGGGTTAGTCATGGCGTCATAGTTTGTTCTGGACGGTTCAGCCTCAGGGGAGCAGAGGAACCGAGGTCGGGTTATATGGACACCTCCAGGAGGGACTCACGGCAGACCTTCCAGCTGCAAATCTGCAGGTAGTCAGCCCTGGGACACGAATGAGGGAAGCGACCTGGGAGGCTTGGGGCTGCATGCAGAACTTCCCCCGGGGACCTCCCGGAGGACCAGTGTGGGCCCCCTCAGGTGAGTGGAGTTTGGGGAGGAGGGTCTCTAGGGAGGTTACCTGTGTATGTGGTCTGTCCAAACATCCAGGCTCCGTCCACGGGGATGTAGCCTTTACCACTAGGGCAGATCTCACTGAATTCAACTGTGCAGGGAGGCATCCAAGCTTAGAGACAGAAGGGCTCTGTCCCCCTTCCTCTCTCCCCTTCTTCCAGATTCACTGTACAGAGCTGACACTGAGGATTTGGGACACTTGGGGGCCTTACCTGAGTCCTCAGCTGGGCAGAGGTCACAGGCATCCCCCCAGCTGGCGCCCTGGGTGCAGCAGCACTCGGCCCGTGTGGTGTTCCGGCCTAGAAGGCTGGAGCAGGGCAGCTGGCCATTCTGACCGGAGAAGCATTCCATGCGGATGGGGCCTGGGGGGCGGTCCCCTGACGGGGCCTCAGGAATACTCTGACCTGTGTGTGATAGATGCCCTTTATCACTGTCTGTCCCTGGCCCTCTGGGGCACCCTAGCTTTTGAATTTATTTTCATGGTTTTACGTTTATATAGCACTTTACAGTGCGCAGCATGCTTTTACCTGTATTGTCTCACTTGATGCTCTTGACAGCATTATCAGCTGCCTTTTGCACATGACGCAGTTGAGGCTGAGAGAAGCTACGTGACTTGCCACAGTCACCAGCTATTAAGTGGCACTGACCCCAGTTCTTCTGGTGCCCAAACCCCTGCTCTTTCTGGAGTAGCTCCCTGCTGCCCCCGGTATAGGAGGTGCCCCCTGTCCGTGGCATACCATATGGGCAGCCCCTCCATTCCTCAGCCCACACTGTACCCCAGCCCCTCCCACCTTTCCTTGTTCCAAGTCTTGCTTTCATTTTCCCCAAGTCAGAGGAGGCCATCTGAGTCCTAGGCCAGCCTGGGGTGAGAGGCTGAACCCAACAGCTCTGGGGTGGAGTGGGCAGGAAAGAGTGAGGCTCAGCTCAGCTTCACAGCCTCCCTCACCAAAGGGCTCCCTGGGGTCACTCTGAGGCTCAATCTGAGATCCCTAGGCACCGTAAGTTGGCATCCGTTCTTCCTGAGCCCCCTGTAGGGTTGTCACAGCCCCGAGCCTCCAGGACATTCCCTGACCTGGGACAGACGTCCTCTTGTCTTGACATTTGCCATACTCTGACTCCTCACTCTGTTCTACTCCAGTCCTAAGTAGCACCCTTGCCCACACGGCCCTGGGCCCGGCCCAGGCTCCCTCTCAGTAGCCGGAGTGGTGGAAGCGCTCTGTAAGCTGCAGAGCGCTCATGCATAATGACGGGGTGCTCACCTCCAGCCACCCGCGGGCGACAGTGCCCCTCCTGAGCGTCGTACTCCTCCAGGTCGCTGGCACAGAGGCACAGGAAGGAGCCCTCCACGTTCTCACAGAGTGCCGCCCCACACACCGCCAGCATGAGCTCACACTCATTCACGTCTGCCAGGCACGAGGACAGGCTTGGGGGTGGAGAAGACGCAGCCCATGTCCCCCCGGCCCTCTGCCTCCAGCCCAGTGGGCAGATCCTCCTCTCATCCCCTCAAAAGAAACCGGCTAGGTCTCAGGGGAAGAGCAGAGGGAGTTAGCCGGAAGGAGGAACAGATGAACACAGAGCATCAGAAGGGAGAGGCGAGAAGGGTGGCAGAAAAGGGTCACTAAAGGGACCAAGAGGAAGGGTCCCTCCCTCTGTGCACATTCTCCCCACGTGCCTCTGGAGGCTGTGAGGTCTCTGGAGCAGGACAGTGCGCCTTCACTACTGTGCTCGCTCCCCCTGCTGGTAGAACATGGCCACCCTTCTACCGAGCTGGTCAGGGTGCCCGCTGTGGGGTGGAGCTAACTCACCCTTCCTTGCCCACTCCCTGAGGACCTCTTATGGAGCCGTGTGACCTTGAACATTCCCTTCCCTGGCCCCGAGCCTGGCTAGCCTGCAGGCTTCTCACCAACACAGTCCCAGCCGGAGGACGAAGTCTCGAAGCCCTGGTCACAGAGGCAGCGGAAGGAGCCGTCGGTGTTGTCGCAGAAGCCGTGGCTCCCACACAAGGTGTCGTTGGCACACTCATCTATGTCTGGGGGACAGTGGGGACCAGAGTGTAGGGTGCACTCTTGCTCTATTTGCTGGGAATACTTGGTCTATTGACATCAAGGTCTGTGAAAAGTGACTTTAAACACAGAACAAGAACGCTCTAACATTACCGTTCCCCTTCAATTTCTGTGCAAGCCCTGCTGTATGGAAAACACGCAAGCTTCGAACTGCTACAAAAATGAAGTCCTCAGGACAAAGTCATTTCTAGCTGGATACGTGAAAAATAGGTGTCCTCCACCCTCCCCGTTCCTACTCACCAATGCAGTCCCCAGCTGGAGCCATGTGGAAGCCAGGCTGGCAGCCCAGGACACAGCGGTAGGAGCCAGGGCTGTTCTCACACCTCCAGGCCCCACATGCCGAGTCTCCATAGTCCTCACACTCGTCAACATCTGGTCCCAGAGCCAAGAGAGGGGACAGAAATGGGCAGGTCACTGCTCTGGCCCCACCTCCTTGGCATTACAAAGTCATGCCGCACAGCCTTCGGGGTCGTTGATCTGTTACAAATTACTGTGCTCATCTCAACTCCAAAACATCAAGTTCAGGATCATTTCTCCTGACCCGGCGGGGATGATTGTCTAGGTGGAGAACTATATGTGATTTAGGAAAGCACTGAGCTCCTAGCTGCCTGCGACACCCCTTCCCCCACCCCTTCTCCCTGTAGCAGAGTACTTTATGATTCTCGTTATATAAAACATTCACCAAAGTGTATTGCAGAAAATTGTCTTCATATCTGTCTGCCTTGCTCAATTTCAACACTGTCCATAACTGTCTATTTGTCCTAGCAAAAGACATTGAACCTAGCGGGGGTTTAATGTCTATTGAATCAATTTGGCTTTAAAAACTAGACTGTGTGCTCTGCTAGCACAAGGATTATGATTATCTTCATTTTGTCATCTTTGGATAGGCCCTGAGTCAGCCGAGGCTCAATAAATGCATTATCCGTCGGATGATTAATCTGTGGGAAGTGCTCTGCTTCCTGCAAGCTGCAGTTCTGGTCTTGGGGAGCTGAGGACCAGGCAGGGGTGGAGGTGGGCAGATGTGGGGCAGCGCCCTATCCACGCCCCCGGGAGCCCTTACCCACACACTCCCCACTCTCTGGGGAGGGCTGGAAGCCGGCCTCACACAGACAGCTGAAGGAGCCCTCGGTGTTGACACACTGTCCTCCCAGACACCGGTCTGGGACTGCACATTCGTCCACATCTAGAATAGAGCACCCTGTCAGCAGACCCAGCCACGGGGCCCCAGGGCCCGAAGCAGCCCAGAGGAGAGCCAGAGAGCGGCTTGGGGCTAGAAGATCTGAGGAAGTGTCCCGAGCTGGAAGCCAGAGGCCAGGCTGCGGGGAGCAGCCCTGGAACTGAGGCACTTATCAAGGGCAGAAGGGTGACACCCAAAGGGTTCAGAGGGCGCCCGTCTGTCATAGACATGGCAGAGAGGCCCTGTTGGAAAGACTCTGAGTGCCTTCCCAACACCTGGCTCCCTGTCATCGCTCAGCCTCCCATCTCCCATCCCTGGGTGGGGCTGGGAGCACCATATTTCAGTCTAGACATAGCCTCTGGCAGCCCCTGCTGCTGGCAAGTGGACATGGCCCAGCTGGCTCCTCACCCTGGCAGCTGGTGCCCCCCTCTGCGCTGGCGAAGCCTGGTGCGCAGAGACAGAAGAAGGACCCGTGGCTGTTGAGGCACTCGCCACGGGGTGCGCAGTACTCCTCTCCCACACACTCGTCCACGTCTGCAAGGAGAAGGCAGGCAGTGGTGTCTCCCAGGCGTGCTGCCACCTCCCCCGACCCCCACTCACTGCCCACAGTCCCCGATGGGGATGCGGAGCCACTCACCATCACACACGGTGCCATTGGTCAGCTGGAAGCCTGCGGGGCACAGGCACTGGTAGGAGCCAGCCGTGTTCTTGCACTCGCCTCCCTGGCAGCTGCTCTGGAAGTCTTCACACTCATCCACATCTGCAGGGTCACACAGGGAGCAAGGCAGCCTGTGGTGGCACCTCCCGGGGACAGGAGGCAACGGGGAGGTCTCCAGAGGGTCTGTGCCCGGCCTGGGGAGTCCGGACCCGGAGGGGCGTCATCCCCTTGTAAGCGGCATAGCTGCGGGGGGGGGGGGGCCTCCGGGAGCAGCGTGACTGCAGCTCTTTCCACTTCTGCCTGGAGAAGCCCAGCTGGCCTTCTCCGGCTGCCCACACGGTGCCCTTGGGGACATTCAGCCTCTCCCTGCAGGGGTGGCCTCTCCCTAGGGTGGCCAAACCCACTGCCCTTACCGTGGCTGAGACAGCTCAGATTTTACGGAGAAGCGATGGGAAAACAAATGTGAGATCGATGAAGGAAACAGATATCGAGAACCGGAGAAGGTCACAGAAACTAGGTTCTTGAAGTAGGTCTACAGATTGCCTGGGACAGGCCGCTGTTTTCCAAAATCCGCTCCCAGCTCCCACCCTGACAAAGAACCCAGGAGGCTGCGTGTGGAACAAACTCCCCTGCAGCTTGCGAGCCGGTGGCTCACTGACCCCTAGACCCAGACTGGCAGCCGTCTTTCCAACCCCTGTTGAGGGTCGGGGGAGGATAGGTGTCCTTTAGATGCCATCCAAGGTGGACAGAGCAGCCCCTGGCCCGGAAGCAGTCCCTGCTGTGTCTGCTCACTCCCTTCTCTAAGGGTGGTGGGTTAGTCTCTGGCACCCCATCGGTGCTCTCCTTCCTCATGGTGGCGGGGGGGAAGGGGGTTCTCACCTTCACAGGTGTGGCCCAGGGCGCTGGGCCGGTAGCCCGCCTCACAGTCCCTGCAGGAGAAGGAGCCGGCCGTGTTGGTGCAGACTCCTGAGGGGCAGACTCCCGGGAAGGTGCACTCATCTAGGTCTGCGGCAGAGGGCCAGCCAGTCACCCTGGGGGCCCGGGAGGGCTCCCTCTACCTGGCCTCCTACCTGGCCTACCAGGAAGCTCCCCACACTTCTGGCCTCCCTCTCTGAGCTTGTGGGCCTTTCTCCGGGCCCCTGGGGAGGGGCAGGCCCTGGCTGTGGGCCTTCTGTGGGGCAACCCTTGTCCCCCTCTCCTCAGAATGCTCTGGGGGCAACTCTGCCATCAGCTTCCCCCTTGTCTCTGTGACTCCCTTTTTTCCCTCCTGTCCTCACCTCCAAACTTGGGGATGATGACAACAGACACTCTCCTCGGAGCCAAGTCTATTTCTAGGGTCCTCTAGTCTAGCCTGGAGACCCTTAGCATCAGCCCAAAGCTGGGGGACGAACAGAGGATTCTTTGGGAGGTAAGAAGGCCTAGATCCTTGGTCCCCCTCCGCCAGCCCCTCCCCGGGGGTTACCTTCACAGGCAGTGCCGTCCTCATTCACCCAGTAGCCACTCTCGCAGGCCGAGCAGGTGAAGGAACCCTCGGTGTTGAGGCACAGGCCCGTGGGGCACGAGGCCCGGCTGGCACACTCATCGACATCTGAAACAGGCCAGTGAGTTCTGTGTGGGGCTCTGCGGGACAGACGTGGCAGGACAGCCGGACACTGGCAGGTCGGCAGGGGTAAGGTGAGGGATGGGTCCTGGCAGGATGTGTGGCTGGGTCAGCATGGTCAGGGATGTGGGCGCAGGGCTGGATTAGGAGTGAGCGTGCAGAGGGAGGGAGCTGTAGGCTGATTTGCCTGCAGAGGAAGGTGCTTTAGCATCTTTGTACCTTGGCAGCCCTTCTCATCTGTGGTGACCTTGTAGCCCTGCTCACAAGAGCATCTAAAGGAGCCCTCTAGGTTGATGCACTTTCCATGGGCGCAGACCCCGGGGGTCAGACACTCATTTATATCTGTGGGAGAGAAGTCCAAGATGGCGGGCGGGCCTCCTGTCCTTCATGCAGTCCTCATTGTCAGGCTTAGGGCATCTTAATGATGAGGCCAGGGAATCAGCACTCAGAGGGGGCACAGGCCACCCTGGGAAGGCGCTGAGGTCGTTCCTGCTCCTGGCCCCCTGCCCCCCGACCTAGGCAGGGCAGGGTGCCCTTCCCGCCTGAGCCCACTGCAGCTCTATCTAGTAACACGTAGCACTCCGCATATGTCCTAGAAAAGGGAGCCAGGTCCCCCAGCCTTGGGGCTGGTTTGGCCCATCTGAGGACACCTGGAATGACATGTCCGAGAACCTTGACTCACCTTACAGTAGATCTAAACCTTTCTGGCCTCCTACTTGCCAACCAAACTGGTATGATTCTATGTTCCCAGCCCAACAACCAGCTTCAGTACGTGAGTGGGCAATGCAGAGAGAGGCCAGTCTATGCCTGGGTGGCTGAGTGGCAGTCTCAAGGGCCTGGGAAATGCCTGCCCTCCCCAGAGCCTCAAAGCATCTATTCACAATTCAGTCCCTCCCGGCATTCTGAACCCTGGGCCCTTCTTCCTGCAGGGGCTGATGGGAAAGAACATTCCTTCTATAGCTGACATGCAGCCCCCTCTGGGGGGAGAAGAGCACCCCTGTTCAGTGACGTGTTGCTGTTTAGACATTGCTGTGGAGATGCCGAAGGCCCCTCCTGCCCGGGAACCACAGCAGGACTTGGCTGTGAGCTCACACCACCAGAGTCAGCCTCTTCCTAAGATTCTTGGCAACTCACTCTACCCAGCAGGATCCGGCCACAAAAGCTTCTGGGACCTTGGGCTGTAGCTCCGGGATGGACATGGCCAAGGAGCCAAAGGGGCCCCCGCCCAAGCTGATTCAGAGGGCAGAGCAGCAGTCACCCAAGCACACCCATCTTATGGCCAACGTCATGTGGGAACCCAGCCAGGTCAGGGAGGACAGTGGTCTCCACGCCACTTCCCTCTGCCCGTCTCTTTCCCTCCCTGTGTGTGGGCTCAACCGGAGGTCCCAAGGCCACACAGCCCTCTCAGTGCCTTGGCGAGCAGCCCTCACCTACACAGCTCCCGCTCTGGCCCCGGTAGCCCTCCTCACAGGCGAGGCAAGCGTAGGATCCGGGGGAGTTGACGCATCTCCCGTCGGGGCAGGTGCCAGGGTGACGACATTCGTCGATATCTGCAAAATAACATCCCCTTCCTTGGTGATCCCTGGGAGCCACAGCACATGAGTAGTTCTGTGAGGGAGCCAATCCTTGACCCTGCCCTTGGTGGGGGAGAGGGAGGGATGCCAGGTTCTGTCCAGACGGAAACTAGGAAAAAGTGAGTGCCGTCCAGTGTTTCCAGATCCACCTCCCACCCACTGTCCCGGACAAAAGAGAGAGATAGAAGAACTTTAGAAAGGGAGACTCCCTGGGTGGGGCAAGAGGCCATGGTCACCATTAGCCCTGGGAGGGTGGGAGAGCTCTGCTTTGTGAACTGGACTGCTGGGAAGGGCCTTCATAGCTGCCTGGGTGAATCCTGTTCTTCTACATAACTGGGATGGCGCATGCTTGGCACAGCAGGTCCCCGAGGCCCCAGAACGGATCGCCAGCTGGGCAATGGAGGCAAAATAGGCTTTCCTGCAGCAGGAGAGGGGGACCGAGGATGACGCCCAATCTCGGAAAGACCAGCCCTGAGGCCGATGCAGAGTTATGGGTGGAGGCTGGCAAGGCTTCTTGGCTGGAGAGACTTTTGTTCCAGCTGAGAACCATGTAGGGCTCCCAGCACTCACTCTGGTGAGGTCCAGAAGAGAGTCAGAAAGGGTGAGCCTGGGCACCAGACAAACAGGGGAAGAGGGGACCCGAGGAGGGAGAGGAGCAGCCAGTCCTCGGAGAAGAACAGCAAGGAGGACGACAGAGTTCTTGCTCCCAGAGACCGCAGGCAGTGTTCTTCCTGGTGCGACCCGGCGTATCCGGAAATCCATCACTCGGCACACGGGGGACTTGCGCTGAGTTAGGGAGGTCCCAGCGCAGGGCTTGAACTCCGGGTTGGGACTGCAGGAGGACGTGATGTGCCTTGGGCTCAGTGTTGAGGCTCCCAGTCCCTATTTGTGACAGACTGAGCTCCAGAGGAAACAAGAGGATTTACTCTTCCTAAAAGGGTAATTGTCACTCTCCTGGAGGAAGTCCACCGGCTTATGCAGATTCAGAAGCCCTCCGGCCCAAGAGGAAGACCTAGTTAGCACCCATGGAGGGAATGCAGGAGGCAGGGCCAAGGGTCAGAACACAGACTTTCTGCAAAAGGACGAAAGCCAGCAGCTGTTGTCACAGAACACGACACGGGCCCCGAAGTGAAGAGCGGAAATGAGTCTCCCTTGAGGTTGTTTGTTCTGCAGAAGTCAGGCCACATCAAAGCCCTCTGTCCCAGGGAGCTGGGACCCTCTCAAGGCCAAAATTTCACCCCGAGGGTCCAGAAGAGGAAGATATACACAGGGCAGGTGGTTGTTCAGGGGGGTATCTGCAAGGAGATACCCAGAACCCCTAGGCAATCTTGGGGACACTGAGATAAGGCTCATCTCTCCAAAGAGGGTAGCCAAGAGCCCTTGGTTGGGCTGTGGCGGCACTGCGCTAACCTCTTCTGAGGGTTTCTGTAAAGACAGAGACGGAGACAATGAGACAGAGGAGGGGGCTGCACGGCCTGGGACCGCTGACCGCGGCCGTCCAGGAGAGTCCAGGAGAGAGCGGCCGGCACCACGGCCTCGGGGCCTCGGCTGAGGTACAGGAGGAGGATGGGCAAAGCCATTGGGAATGATAAGTAATCCCTGCTTCAGGAGATAAAGAGGCAGAGGTGAGGACCCTTTTCTGGGACCACTCTGAGAAAAAGGAAGTCTTTGGATCTCTCCTGCAGGGATCAGGCAGTGTAGGAAGGAGATTAGAGTTAGCAGGAGCAAAGAGCCCTGATGTCGGTCCTGCCCCAAACGTTCTGGGCACATTCGTGGAGGTGGTACCCAAAGTGTCTTATGCTGGGCATCAGGAGACTTGTGGTACTGATGCTGTTCACTAAGTATTCCAGCTCTCCCGTTGCTGGCCAGGGTGGGCTTGTGCCCCTGGTTCTCTGTGGTTGCGTGGGACCAGGGCCTTAGCGCTGGCTCATGAGCTATGAAGTGTGTCATTTATGGACCAAAGCATAATCGTGAGCCACTCTGAAGAGTGCTCTTCCTTTCTTCCGTGGAGACTGGCCACATTCAAGACCCTGGCTATTCCTTTCGGCGAGTTCTAGAGTCAGGAAACGTGGGGCACGATCCCCAGCTGACCCACGATGGACATGTGGCATTGGTCAGATATAAACTTGCTGCGTTCTAAGTCATGAAGGTTGGGGTTGCTCGTTAATGCAGCATAACCTAGTCTGTCCCGGCACCCCACTGCTGGCTTCCTTCCTCAGACCAGAGCCCCACCGGCGATTACTGTATGCGAGAGGTCAGTCAGCACGTGGGAGAGGGAAGGCTCTCCCAAATGGGAGTGGATGTCACAGAGCCATCTGCCGAGCCCTTTGAAAGGAGCCAGATAAAGATTCCAGACGAAGCAGACTCCACTTCTGACCAGTCTGTGTTCAGGGCACAGATTCTGATGTCACCAGATATCCTGAGGCTGTTCTACCAAGCTGGTATGTGGACTGGAGCCAGCCTGTTCTGCAATCTTAGTCTAGGATTTGAATTTTAATCTAAGATTACCATATATTTTGGTAGGTTCTAATAGCTTGGTAACCGGGGGCAGGAGCTATCTGTCTTACTTATCGCTATATTTTCCTAGCCCGTGGCTGGGACAGAGGTGGCCCTCAACACATGTTGCTCACCAAAGAATGAAGCCATGGGACTAAAACTTCACACCCTCTTGCTGTGAGGTTGCTGAAGAGACCCCAGGAGACTCAGGGAAACAGGCGCCCCGGGACCAGCTTGCCAACCAGCTCTACACCCTGGGAAGATCCTGGAGCCTTTGCATGGGGAAATGTAAGGGTCCTGTTTCAGCTCCTTGTGAGAGCACGGGGTGGGAGCGGGAGGGCGCTTGGGGCCAGAAGCTCGGGAGAATTTGGATGTGGTTGGGGCACAGGAAAGGCCTGGCAGTCTGCAAGGGGTCTAACCCCTTTCCACGGGAACCCAGAGTCTTGGTATGACAGAAATGCCACTGAGACTTTGGATGGGCCACTGTCCAGAACATTTGGGCCTTCCACCAGAGACTTTGAGTTGAAATGGAGAGAGTGGTTTCTCAGTTGGAGCGAGAAGAAAGAGGGAGAGGAAATTGACCAGGCTCCCGGGGTGATGGCTGGGTCTGTGGTTCCTGATGGAAACCCTGGAGGAGTTTGCAGGCTACATCAGGCTGTCTTTTAGCAGCCTGAGTGTCTGCCCGGGGCCAGAAACCCACCCTGACCTCCCAGCTGAGGTGCGCGTCTGGAACTTTTCCTCCGGGAGGGAAGGGGACAATCCAGAGGCGTGGACTGGAGCATGGGGGGAGTCTAGAAGTAAAAAAGAATGGGGCCCTCACATAGAAATGCCACCCCCTGTGCACTGCAGGTCTTGTCGTACGTATTGGCTTATTTGGTCCTCACAAGGGCCTCTGAGATGGGCATTATGGTTTGCATTTTCAGATGTCAAGACAAGAGCCAATCCCAGGCCCGTCTCTACCAGAGCCTATGCCTGTAACATGGACTGCTTAGTATAAATCTGATCTTTTTAATGTCCTGGTATTTTCTTGGTTCATCTCCTTTAGTTTTGCTTTTTTTTTTTATATAAAGTCTAATGTCAAATTTGTCATGTTGTCATGCTTAAACGAGATAATCTATCAAGTCCTCACACAGCTCCTGGCACGTAGAAGGCACCCAGCAAAAGCTAACTCCCTCATTCTCCATTCTCCTGGAAAATGCCAGGCTTTCTGACTCCAACATGCTCATGAGGACAAAGAGAGTGCATTTTGGCTTTGATTGTGCGTAGGCCAGGGTATTAAAGGGAGAACACCAAGAGGGAGGCATTGAGAGGAGAAGGGGACCCCCGGGGGGTACAGTTAGAGAGCTGTCTGTCCTCCACCCCCAGCCACCTCTCCCCTTTGCTAAGACCTTCTAGGACTCCGGACTTGGCTTCCCTGGTAATGGCATTGGAAAGGGGCACTCTCCCTTGGTAAGGTATTTACCTCTAGGACCCTGTGAAACCAGGGCAAGTCCCAGCCAGGAAAAACCTGGAGGCTGGCAGGTGGCTAGTCCTAAACTTGGGTCAAGGGCAGGATTTCTTTCCAGAGAGAACCTTGCTTTACCACCCTTCATTCCTATCTCGGCCAGTCTTAGCATATAACGTAGGCCTCTTGCAAGCATTTGACACCCCAGCCTGGCAAGGAGGGGGTGGGCGCAGAACTGCCAGGAGCTGGCATGATAGCGGCTTCCAGCCAGCCTGTGAGGAGACCACTTGGCAATGTCACGGCCGCCTTTTGGCAGGGCCTGGGAAATGGAGCAATGATCGGGGCTCGCACATTCATTCTTTACTCATTCAGCTAGCATTTGCTAACATTTGTCCAATGCAGGGCATTTCTCAGGTGTCCGCACATGAGTCATCTAAGGATAGGGTCCAGCCCCAAGGAGCTCATAGCCTAACAAGCTTTAGCAAGTAGGCCAGGGCTGCACCCCCAAACTCCTCCCGGAGAGACCAACTTCTCTGTCATATGGGAGAACAGTATGACTCAAGGCAAGGGGAAGCGTTGTATAGAGGGATGTTCCGGGCTCTCACGTATATAACATTGGTTGTGCTCCCCTGCTTTGTGGGGCAGACAGGACGCCAAAATATCACTGAGGGGATGGAAGGCCTCATGAATTCCCGGACAAGTCTCTGTCCACAGGAGTGGGCTCAGCATCAACGGGCCCAGTCGGAGACAAGCTGGAAGTTGAGGTGGGGGCAGGCAGCGCCCCGGGGAGGGACCAAGAGGTGGTGCGCTGGCCGGCTGCCTCCCTTCTCATTTCTTACCTTGACAGTGTCCCTTCCTGACCATGATGTAGCCCTGGTCACACTGGCAGTGGTACGAGCCCTCTGTGTTGGTGCATCGTCCCCCGTGGCACACCCCTGGCTGCTCACACTCGTCTATGTCTGTGAACACACAGAAAAGTCCTGAGTTGGGCCAGCCCTGCAGGGAGTCCTGGGGCATCTCTTCAGAGGACAAGGACACCATGCTGAGGCCCCAGTGGGAAAGGCATCCTTGATGCAGCCATGATTGGTGGGGGCTCCCAGGCCAGGTCTGAGACTGATCTAGCTCAGGCCTCTGCAAACCCCTGAGTTCCTTTCTCCCCGGGGACACTACTTTGGGGGGCCTTGGGGACCCTGAGGCAAAGGGCTGGTCTTGAGGTCAGGTGGCAGTCCAGATGGCACGATCTGAGGAAGCCAATAAAATCCCCTTCCTGACCCCAATACCTCCTCCAGAGGTCTGCTCCTAGAGTTCTTAAGGGCCTTCCTAAAAGTTAGGGATTAAGCAGCCAGAGAAAGAGCATCTCAGGCAGCTGCGATCTACTGAAGCGGTTTATGCCATTGTCCCAAAGCGTCCTGGTGCCCCACAGTGGCTCAAAAGCCCGACCCGGGTCGTGCCACTCCCTTGCCTAAAACGCTACTAGGGTTCCCTGCTGTTTCAGCCTGGCTCACAAGGCCTCTGCCACCTGGCCCCAGCCTTGCTGTGTTTGCTGATCCCCACCGGTCCAGCCACCAAGCTTTTGTTCACACAGACGTCTCCACGTGGGGTATCTTTCTTTGCCTTTATGGTCAGCAGAGTCCTACCCCCATTTCAAGGACAGGTTCATTTGATCAACTCAAGGTTGCTTTAGCCACGCCCCATCCCTTGTCCCCACATCATATCAATGGAGGATTTACCTTTGCCCCCCAACCCCCTGGCACTGGTTTAAACTCTTCACCGGGTAACTGTGCAGATTAAATGAGATAACTTCAATGAAAGAAAGTGTAGAAGGATATCTTTGTAGCTTAGGGTGGGGAAGGACTTCTTAACTAGAGCCCCAAAAGCATAATAAATAAGGCAAAAAGGTGAATTTCAATACGTCAGAATCAAGGATTTCTGTTAAAAGGAGGACATGTGGATAAGGTTAGTGGGCAGGGGATGAAGTGAGAGAGTTGCAATATCTAACCCCAGGCAAGTATCTGGAATATATAAGGAACTCCCAAGGAGCCACAAGAAAAACCAGCAACTGCTGGAAAACTGAGCAAAAAATAGGAACAAGCAATTTTCAGATAAGGAAACCCAGGGGCTAAAGTACGAAGAGATGCTCATACTTCTTAGTAAAGTAAATATTCTTTAAAAATATCTAATATTCAAATAATTTATATCAATCCATTAATTTATACTTCTATTAATTTTAATTCCAGGAATGGTCATAATTTATATTAATTATACAGATTAATGAAATAACCCCTACACAATTAAATAATGAGACACTGCTTTATAAGACTGGCAAAATGTAGAAAGTGGATGTTATCCTGAGCAAGGTCCCATTGAGTGGCAGCCGAGCCCCGCTGGGAGAGGCACTGGCAGCTGACCTGGGGCTCCCTCCCCACTGCTGGGGCCGGCAGAGACATCCCACTGCTTGTCCCCAGCAGGTGCCCCAGGCTGGGCCTCTGACCTACAACACCTGCCCGTGGGACGAAGCCCAGAGAAGCCCCCTGCCCCCAGCCTCTTCCCTCACGACCCCCAAGCTGCTCTGAGCAGCGCTGCTGAGTCAGGTCCCTGAAAGCCTGCTGAGTGCTATCGCCACCCTCTGCTTACAGACCTCCCCTGGTGGCTCACTGTCTGCAGGGTGGTGTCCAAACACTTCAGCCTGGCACTCAAGGCTTCACAAACTGGCCTTGGCTCCCGCCACTTCCTCCTCAGACCCCACGCTCCAGTCACACTGGATTTATCATTATTCCCAGAGCATGCCAGGCTTGTTCACCACTCTGCTCTCTGGAGAAATGGTTCCCTTTCCCTGGAATACTCTCTGCTTTCTCCATTCCCTCACCGTGCATGTAAGGGAGGGTGTAGGAAGCAAACCACGCTTTGGGGCCAGAATGACTTTGATTCTGTTTCTAGCTCTGCTGCAACTAGGTATGAGGTCCCCTGGTATTACACTTCACCTCTCTGAGCCTCAGTTTACTTAATTATAAAATGGGGTAAGGCTTTCTACCGCCTGGGGGTGGGATGATGAGCTTCATATGATTAAGGGCTTAGGACAGTGCCAGCATACAGAAGTGCTCGTGAAATGTCCCTGGGACTACTCTGCCCCAGCTCTAACACTCCATCAGCGAAACCTGCCTGCATCCTTCCACGGAGAACCAGCTGTTTCCTCACCTGGATCCCACAGCACCAGGAGAACACACCCGACTCACTGCAGGATCCCGGAGCTTACATGGTACCTGGCATGTAGGTGTTTAATGCTTGGTATGAATCCACCCCCCCCACCTCATTAAGTTAGCTGGTTATTCTCCTCTATTTCCCTTTCCCCCATATCAGGTGAGGGGACCTGCATGGCCCTGGTCTCTGCAGACCAGATCTTTAGGGGATTAGGACCTGGAGGACTCTGGTAATGAGAGGATGCACAGCTTCCTGGCCTCCAGAAGGGGACTGTGCATAAGTGCTGGGCTGCCCCCGCCAGAACCAGCCACGAGAGCCTCAAGAGCAGCGGTGAGTGCTCCAGCTGCGTTATGCATCGTTAAGGCACTGCTTGGAAAGAGCTGCGCCATATCCTCTGTGAGCTCGTTCATAAAAATGTACGCGGAGGCTGTGTATCTCGGTGCAAATGCTGGATATTAAAGGGTTTGTGTGGGAAGCCGCCTTGCCCAGGGCCCTGTGCAGGGGCAACAGACACAGGCCTTCCCAGGGAAGTGCAAAGACTGCAGGCTCTCTGAGCTGCTGGGGACCTCTTGCCAAGGCACTCCTGCTCCCCTGTCTGCCAGGAGTCCCAGCCAGTGTCCTCATGTGCCGCCCTCCTTACCCAAAATGAAAGCAGCTCCTAGTCACACATAATCTGGAGACTAGGCTTTTAGTCCTCATCTCCACCACGTCCCTGACCCCCTCACACACTCAGCTCCAGCCACATCTCCTTGGAGCCTTGGTGAACGTTGCTGTCTTTCAGGTTCGAACCTCTCCTTCCGGTCTGGTCTCAGCGTAGGGGTCGGCTTCCACTCAGGTCCAGGTCAGAGCCCTGAGTCTCTGTTCTCACAGCCCCTGCGCTCCATACACTGCAGTGCAATGGCTGGGTGCTGTGAACGCCTGGATCCTCTTCCACCTCAACACTCTCTAGTGGGTCCTGAGCCCATCCCAGGGATGCAGGCAGGCTCGCGTACCTTGGCACTCCTGTGTGGTCCCCGAGGTGGCCAATGTGTAGCCAGGGTAGCAGAAGCAGGAGTAGGAACCCACTCGGTTGACGCAGCGCCCTCTTCCCACGCAGGGGTCCCTCAGACACTCGTTGTCGTCTGAGCAGAGGAAGGTGGGGAAGGAGGTCAGGTGGACTTCCCTTGGGCACCTGTCAGCAACATGCCCATGCCAGGAGCTGGACAGGGAATGGTGCTGTGGGTCAAGGGGGGATGTGGGAGGAGGAGGCAAGGGAGACGAAAAATCTCTAAGGCTGGGGTTATGACATCTGCCCATAGGGCCCACTCAGGCACCAAGGGCCTGGAGCAGTGGCCCAGCACTTCCTCCCTGACCCATGTCCCCCTCCCCCAGTGGCCCCCTGATCACTTCCTTTCCTTTAGGGCACACTGGATGTTTCTCTCCTGTGTCAAGCTCTTGAGGGGGGTGAAAATCAGTGGAGACATTTCCAACTAGGGTAGGCCTTGGTCTGCTCTGTAGGCAGCAAGATGGCTAGTTGGAAGGGTGGGCTGATCTCAGAGCTGAGGGCTCCAGGCACTAGGCAGGGGGCCCTAGGGTGGCTTCCCACTCTCCTGGAGTCCCGGAGACTCATCGGACGGTGCTCCCAGAGACTTGTCTCCCCAAGGTTAAGGTTGGCTTTGTCCACAGGGCTAGTAGTCTTCTGCAACTCATCAACCACACAGCACCACTTGGACCTTCTGCTGCCTGGACACTTGACTCTGTCTCCAGCAGTTGAGTGAGCCCAGGAAGCCCCGTGCATACCCGTGCAGTAGGCCTGGCTGGGGTGCAGCTGGTAGCCGGGGCTGCAGATGCATTTGTACCCGTCTGGGAGGTTCACGCACGTCCCGGGCCCACAGATGTTGGTGGCTCCGGCGGCACAGCTGTCAATGCCTGTGGGAGACAGAGCAAAGCAGAGGTTATGGCGGGCTGAGGATAGATGGAGGCAGTGAAGCCAGGCAGCGGAGTGGGATGGGGAGGAGAGTGTGGGGGGCAGGGCACGGGGGCCTCAGAGGACCCACAGAAGCCTCACTCCATGCTTGGCTGGACCCTCCCATATCCATGCGTAGCATGGCCTTGTATAAAACCCCAGGGCCCCCCTCCCAGGACCCCGAGTCCCAGGCCAGAGTTGACCAAGACTCAGTGGGCTCCACCAACTCGTGTCCCAGCCAAGGGCCTCTCCTGCTGAGGCCTCCAGGCTGCCCTCTCCCTGAATAAGGGCATGGCTCTCACCCACAGTCCCCAGAGCTGCCCTCCCTTTCCCCTAGACAGATGGACAGAGCTGGTAAGTAGGGTACTGGGGGACACCTGCCAGAGGGAGAGAGGAGAGGTGGGTTGGGGCCAGCGGAGCAGGGCCTTGAATGCCATGTTGAGACAGGCCTATGAGAAAGGGGGTTATGCAAGGTGGGGCATGATCAGAGCTATCTCAGAAAGACCCCCTCATCTTGCCATGCCACCTTGCTCAGAAAGGCAGCAGATGACTGATGGCCCGGGCAGGAAGGCACAGGGGGCTCTTAAGAAACCTGCTGAAATAATTCAAACAGGGACTGCCCTGGGTGGTGGTTATGGGGTAAAAAGTGGGGAGACATGCTGAATTCAGGAACAGTTTGACTTGCCTGGACTCAGCACTGAGGCCGCATAGACGCTACTTTTTTGAACTGTGTCCTTAACACTAGAAAAGTGCCTGGTGCTTAGGGTGTGCTGACTGAATATGGGAGTGAGAGGCGCTGGCAGCCGTGGGTCTACCCCGAGGTCTTTGACATAAGCCCACACTCCGAGGGCTCCCCTGCCCTGCCCCACAGCGCTGAGGTAACCCCGGAGACCCAAGGGAGGGGACGAGGTCTGGGTTGGCCCACAGCAGGGCCTCAAGGCGTTCGCTAAATTGGACTGAATTGAATGTGCCCTGGCCTGTTTGCAAGGCTACCCTGTCCCTGTCCTGGCTCCAAGTTTGTGTCAGCCCAGGGGATTTACGGGGACCCCCCTGCCTGGTTCTAAATATCCTCCCAGAGGGATGAGGTTGGGGGAAGGCAGGGGAAAAGAGGGATTAAGCTGTGGGTGGTGACTGAGGGGGGATTCTGTCCCCCCACGTAGCTGAGAGCTGCTGCTGAGCCTGGGCTCTTCCTCCTGCCCCTCACTCCTGTCCCTGCCTCCAGACCCATTTTTCTTGTCAGAGAATCCCCAGCGGAGCCCCTTAACCCAGCTCCTCTTACCAGGGGGACGAAGACCCTCCCCGAGCACAGAGGAGAGACGGAGTGGGAAAGGGCAGTGGGATACCCTGGTTCAGGCCTAGGAGGGCCAACCCCTTCCTCCACCCCACACTCTCTGGATTGTTCCACCGGGCTGCACAGGCTCTCTCTTTGCCGGAAGAAATCCAGAGCTACCCCTCTCCCCTGAGGTGAGCTGAGTGTGAGGTGAAGAGGTCAGCCAGCCCCCGGCGAGGGCACGCGGGAGGGCCGCACACGGGAGGGCGCACACACGGGAGGGCCGCACACGGGAGGGCGCACACACGGGAGGGCGCACACACGGGAGGGCCGCGCACGGGAGGGCCGCGCACGCGAGGGCCGCACACGGGAGGGCCGCACACGGGAGGGCGCACACACGGGAGGGCCGCACACGGGAGGGCGCACACACGGGAGGGCCGCACACGGGAGGGCGCACACACGGGAGGGCCGCACACGGGAGGGCGCGCACACGGGAGGGCGCACACACGGGAGGGCCGCACACGGGAGGGCGCACACACGGGAGGGCGCACACACGGGAGGGCCGCACACGCGAGGATACACGTGCGCAGGGAGCAGCTGCGGCATCACCAGCTTTGCTTCTCTTGACCCAGGTCCCCAGACAATGAGCCTTTGAGGAGGGCACATTCCAGAACAAGGTGGATTTGCCAGGGATCTCCCCCACACTGCACCCCCTCACCACTGTAGCCGGCCAGAGAGGGGGAACGCGGGCTCCCAGACAGTTAAACAGCCTTGAGAACAGAAGCGCTTTCCTTCCCGAAAGCTGGCCGTCACTGTGGGCAGGAGGCTGCACTCAGCCGACTCAGGGTCAACAGCCTGGAGGAGCCAGGCTCCGGGAGGCTCCTTGCGCTGCCCTTCCTCCAGAGGGCCCCTGGATGCTTCTAGAAAGCCTCCGAGCAAGAGGCGCCCCCAAGACCTCCCTTCTCTGCCTCCTCCCCCGCTTGACTGGTGATCCTGACAGGACTCCTGGGTTCCCGAGGGGGCACCCTCTGAGGTGAAGCCAGGGTGCTGAGCCTGAGCGGGAGTTCACTGGAGACGGTGCCTCTGTGGGAGAGGCCGCAGCTCTGACCAGGCTGACTGCAGGTACCTGAGGGGCCCAGGGCCACCAGCCCCTCGGCCAGGGTGGTCACATGCTCTTCTTCCTGGCTGTCCGGAATCTCTTGTCCAGGAGGTGGTGGCGTTGGTCTTTCGACGGCACCTCCTGGGGGCGGGGCGGGGGATGGAGAGGGGAGAGCAGCTGGGCCACAGCCCCTTGGCCACCCACCTTCCCACCCCGAGACAGCGTCCCCTGCGGAGATCCTGGCAGTGGCCCCTTCCCTCCTCCTGCCCTTCCGACTGCGGAACCAGGGGTGGAGCCTAGGATGGGTCAGCCCCTTCTGCCCCCTAGGCTCCCGAAACTTAACCTGGTTCCAACTAGACTCAGAGAACCTGAGAGCTCTAATGGGTCCTTGAGCACATCCAGTCTCAGCTTCCATTTCACAGGGGACGAGACTGATTTGTGGAAATGGCCACTTGTTCAAAGCCAACTAGCTTGGTGGAGACAGAGCCCCTGGACAGTGCTGTCCCCAACTCCAGTGACCCTCAGCAAGCTGGGGTCTGCAGAGCTCCAGCCTTTTCCCAAAGGAAGATGGGCCACAGGGGAAGGGCTCTGGGGACCTGACCAGCCCCTGCTTCAGCCTGCACTTCTGCTTTGGTCTCCTTTATACGTTGAGTGGCACCATGAAATGCAGAGAGGGTGCTGTGGCTAGGGAAATATTTGCAAAACAGCTCAGCGTCTTTCACTGACCTTACAGCACCTTAGGTGGCTAGAGCGCCCTGAAAAAAGCATTCACGTGTCACACCACCCACCACCTCATCTGATCTGAGCCTCATGTATTGGCCCACGGTACAAATTCTACGGCGTCTCCTTCCCTCCCTTCTGTTTTCTGGGAGCCGCTAGGAGCAGGGACTCACCTGGGACCCAGGCAGGAACTTGGGTAGCACTGGTTGTGACCTGCGCAGACATAGGGGAAGGTCACTGTTGGTTCCTCGGTGCCCCCCACCCGTGACATGCTTTCTTCCGCCCCACTCACCCCTGCCTCCAGGCTTCCCGGCCACCTCACTTATTCACCTTCTCGTTCCTTCCATCTCTTGATGAGTTCTTCCTACATGCTGGGCACTGTGCCAGCACTTTACGTCTGTTGTCTTAACTAATCTGCTCAACTAGCCTGTGACAGTCGGTTGTAATGACTAAGTGAGCTGATGTATGTGCTGTGCCCGCTCAGTGTCACATCAGCAAAGCTTGACGATTGTCTCAATGCCATGAGCTCAGATAAAGCGGCAGAAGCTCAAGGTTCACCAGCCTCCCTAGGGTCACAGGACCAGTGTGGTGAGGCCGAGACCCTAGGCCATACCTGGTGTCCCTCACCACAGCGACCGGCTAGGGGCGGTGACCCAGGAGGGTCAGGGGCACACCGGGGGCTGTGAGGACATAGACGGAGAACTCTGGTCTGGGAGGACAACACATGATTTTCCAGGGAGAGAAGTAGCTCCCTGGAGAAACGGTGTTTGGGGCCAGTCAGGTCTGTGGGTGGGAGGGGCAGACAGGTGAGGGAAGAAGCAGGTTCACTCTTCTGGAATGTTTTTCTAGGAGGACATTCGGTTCTTTACAGGGGAATCCTGGGCCCAGGGAAGGGCGTGAAGTGGTTTGAGGCCATCCACTGCTCTGTTTCCGCTTCCCCACAAGCCACCCACAGAGATCTTGAGGTGTAAGCAAGTCAGGCTCAGAAAGTGCCGAATCCAGAATTAATCTGGAACCAGTTCTAGACCTTACCTGCAGAGCCGGGACTAACAAGACATGTTCCTACTTCCTTTCTGAAGGGGGCCCCAGAGCACCCCAAATGAGAGAACACTTGTTCAAGAGCTGTTCTCACTTCCCTTAGGGTAAAACCAGGTCTTTGGATGGACCCTCCCACTCCAGTATCGCTCCAGGTAACACTCTACACATAATCCATCTGTCTCCCTTTCCTCCTTCAGGGGACACCGCCCGGCAGCGTCAGTGGCGACCCTGTCCCCCTCCCTGCCCTGCTTGCCCAGCCCTGCTGGGAGGATGCACTCACCTGGCCAGCCTGAGAGTCTCCTGGGAAGGAAAGGCGAGAGCATGAGCTCAGGGAGGAGAGCCAGGCTGCCTTCTCCCCTCCACCCATGGCCAGGGTTGGTTCAGTCTCTGACCTCCTGACTTGTCCCCAGAGGTCAGCCGTGGAGAGAGTGCAGAATCTTATTACCTGCTTCTGCCCCTCCCGCCCTGCCAGGACTGGCCACCACAGATCCCCCAGAATGCCAGGTCTGGAGGGCCTACAAGGTGGCTTCCTTGGTGAGAGGAAATCTCTTGCCTTCCTCTAAGGCCTCAGGGACGAGTCCCACCCTTTCCTGGGCCAGTCCAGCCGTCAGTCCTGGATGTAACCTTCCTCTTTACTCTGCCACCGCTCCTTCTCAAGCCTCCCAGCCACGGCGCGTCACTCCGCCCCTGCCCTGGGCTACAGCCCCGGGCAACAGTTCTAGAAAGAGAGGAGCTGCTCCTGGCCTGGCCAGGGTCCAGTTCCCGTGACCACTGGGGCTCTGTCCTGACTTCCCTCTCTGTCTGTTCCAGATTCCTGGGGCAATTTTGGCCATCACATAGCTCTCCTGGTCTTAATATGTCCTTGGCCTCCTGCACTGTGGGCTACCAGGAACCTGGGTGTGCTTTCAGTGTGGTTCCCAGGACCCCCTCCAGGGGTGCCTCAGCCTTCTCTCTCCAGCCTGTGCCTCCTGGGCCCAAGGTGATGGAGCCGCAGTTAGTGCTCAGACTCTAAGGCCAGGGAGGGGAACTACAGCAGCCAGACTCCCCAGGGTCTCCCTGCCAGCTCTCAGTCCCTGCGGCCAGCACCAGCCCAGAAGCTGCACGGCCGGGGCCCGGGGGCAGAAAGGCCTGATCAGCTGGGGTTGGGGCTGCTGCTGACCTCTTCCACCTCCAGCAGCACCCCTTGGGGTGTGGGCACCTTTGACCCCATACGTGAGGGGAAGGAGGTGAGTGAGGCCTTCCCAGCACGCCGGGCGGTGGGTTCCTGGGGCTGGGCACTGCTGCTCTAAACTCCCTCTCCTCCTGCTCCAGAGTTGGGAAGCCATGGGTCCAAGGTAAGTACCCAGGGGCTCTTTGGGGGGGTGCAGGGGAACCCCTCAGCACCTCCCGCAGCCCAGATACCCTTGTCAGGGACGGTCTCGGGCTCTAGCCAGGTGTCAGTGACGGCCTGGAGCGGCTGCCTCTCCGCTGGCCCCGGCGGGGTCCCGTAGCTCTTCTGTGCTTGCTCCCTGGAGGGCCTGGCCAGTTCCTCCTCCTCGGCCTTCCTCATGGCCAGGCGGATATGTGAGCTCGAGTAGGTGTAGCCGTGGCCAGCAGGGCAGATCTCCTTGAAGGCCTCTGCAAGGTCACCGGACAGAGGACAAGCTGAGCAGCGCAGTTCCTGAGGGAAACCCGGGCCCTCCCTTCCTTCCCTTCGGGGGACAAGCACTTGTGGCAGCGAGGGAGGGAGGGCCCCAGGTTGGGGCAAGGAGTTGAGCAGGAGGGAAGGAAGGACTAAGGGTCTTCTGGCTTGAGGTGAGGTCCAGGTGGGGGAAAATTGTCACTGGCTTGGAGGAAGCCCCTTGGTGGCCGGAGATGAGACTGGGACTGATGCTTACCTGTGCCAGGCAGGGGGCATCTCTCACACTTGCTGCCCCAAGCTTTGCCTACTCGGCTGCAGCAGCAGATTTGCTTGGTGATGCTCTGGGCCAAAGGCAGGGTGCAGGTGCCAGGCCCCAGCGACCGGTAGCACAGCCCCTGCTGCATGGAGACGGCCTTGTCGGCTGCAACAGACACAACAGGTGGGGTGGGCAGGTGGCCAGCCTCGGGGAAGTGCGGGGAGGAGGGGGGCAGTGGGCAGCCACCCAGCTGGCCTGGCCTGAGTCTCAATCTGTAGGTTCGGGCCCTGGAAATGCTAAAGGAATGTTGGGAGGGATGGCTGTCGTGGAAGGCTTTGGCATCTCCTTGTGTTACCCGTTGGAGGGGCCCCTTGAATTCCACCCTCTTGTGGAGAGCCGGAGGGCAGGAAATGGGGATGGACGTGCTTGTCTCCAGGTGCTGAGTGTACAGGTATTTACAAAAGCCATCGGCCTGGGGATGGGTGGGGAGCAATGTGCTCTAGGGCCACAGTCTCCCTGGGGAGACAAGACAAGGTGAGAGCCAAAGGCCTAATGGGGAGCTTTGAGGACAGGGACCCTGTCTTGGCCATCTTTGTAGCCCAGCACCCTGTTCAGTGCCTGGTGCAAGAGCACAGTAAATGTTCGCTGGACCCATGGGCATGGATGGCTAGATCTGCAAATCAAAATTCTATGAACCACCGTGAGTGTGAGCTACGCTGGGTTTAGATGATCACAATACTACCAGCACTGTCCCCTTTCTTGGCCTTTGACAGTGAACATCGAAGACCATCCTCTTGTATGTTATCTCAATGAAGGATGAAGTGGTCATGCCAAATGGGAATGACTGAATCCCTTGTCAGGCCGGACGAGGGGACGAGAGATGCATGGAGAGAACAAAATGCACAGCTAAGGAGTTGGTGGCCCTGGGGAAGTCCAGGTCAAGGCCCAGGACTCAGCAGGCCAAGTTCAAATCCCTGCACCACCAGGAGCTACATGACCTCCCTGGACTTTATCGTCTTCATGTGTAAAATAAGGATGATGGCCATGGGGAGGAGACACCTGTGTTTCTCCCTGCTTGGCATCTATGCCCCTGTATTCTGGTGACAACATCCTGGTTTCCCTAGGGGATCCACCCTGTCTCCCTTTCTGTCCATGTGGAGTGGAGGCTGACCCTACTTCCTAGCTGAAAGAGTCCATACCCCTGGTCATAGTGAGTGAGTCAGGGATAGGCACTTGACCAAGTTGGCCCAATGATAATAATCAACTGTGGGACTTTCCCTGGATTATGACAAAAGAGATACTTTTTATTTTTCTATTTTTAAATTGGAGTTTGCAAGGCTGGGAGATGTAGGCCTGGACTGTCTGGTGGACACCTTTGAAGGAATTATGAAATCAACAGAAAAGGAAACAGAGCAAGAGGCATCCCAAAGACACTGTGTGCACCTGCATCCAACCAAGCCTGAGGCACACCCACCCCTCGACTTTCTAGTTGTGTGGACCAATAAATTATTTTTGCTTACAGTGGTTTGAATTGGGTTTCTGTTATTTGCAACCCAAAGGATCCTGACTAATATACTTTAAAAAAAAAGTTTGTTTGTTTGTTTGTTTGTTTGTTTAAGTAATCTCTACACCCAAGGTGGGGCTCAAATTTATGACCCCGAGATCAAGAGTCACACACTCCACCAACGGAGCCAGCCAGGTTCCCCCTGACTAATACACTTTCTTCACAGTGATGTAAGTAAGAGTGCCTTGTCAAAGGTCATGTCCTATATACACAGATCAATTATTGGTCAGTCCATGAGCCTGGGTCTCCAGGTATAATCTCTGCTTCCAATAGCCACTTCCCTTGGGATACTGTAGGAAATGGCTCAGTCCTTTTGAGCCCCAGGGTGTAGGTGACCTGGCTGAAAGTATCAGGAGGCTGCCCCAGCACAGAGGGGCCCTTGTAGACCAGCACTGGTCAGGTGGTGGGGAAGAGGGCAAAGCTCAGAAATGAAGGGAAGAGAAACTTCGTGTCTGCCCCTTTCCACCTACAGGGAGGTAAACCATCAGAGGGAGCTGGAGCGGGTAACAGGAGAGAGGGAGGAAAAGATAAAGAACACCCAAGGGCCGTCTCTGCCTCTCTGTATTAAGTAAGGGTCTCTTTCTGGCACTAATAAGTAAAAGTCACTTCAGGAGTTGAAAATGTCTGCCTAAGAAAGCGATCTTAAGTGGGGGGTGGGATGAGGAGAAGGAAGGGCTGTATGCCCCTGGAGGCCTTGACCACATGTCCCTGTCACCATGAAGTCTCCCTGAGAGCCCTCTGACATGTTCTCCCCACTCTGGCCTCTGCCTGGCTCCTCTCCCTAGAGACATGGACTGGGTCCCGCCTCACCCTTCCCTTCCCATGGGATGCTCCCCCTGGGTGGCACTGCAGTCTGGCTCATCCCGTGGCCTCCCCACACCCAGTACCTGGTGGTCTGTGGACTGAGGGCCTGGCCAGCCGCGGGGAGCTCTACTGAGCTGGGGGTGGGGGCAACCTGACCTGGGCTGCCACTTTACAGATGCCAGTCAGGACTGGTTTTATTCAGTTCTGCTCAGGCCTCCCTGCCCAAAGAAAGCCCTGTCCGGGCCATGGTGTCAGCTCTGCTCTCTGGAGGGGTGCTGCCAGCCTGGGCCTCTTGCAGCGGGAAACCACAGAGGCCGCCGGAAACCACTGCCCGGGGCGGGGGGACACGCATGCGCACACACGGACGCACAGTGTGCACACACCCAGACACGGTGCCGACATGGCCAGGGGCACGTTATGTATCCGTGGATGCAGACACACTCCGAGCCGTGAGGGACCCCAGGTTTAGGGGCCGGCCTGGGTGCCAGGCAGTGCCATGCACACCACAGATAGGCCCTTTAAGGAAGGCCTATCTGCAGTTCAGTGACCAGGCTGCCCGAGTTGGGCCTCGAAGAGGCAGGCACAGCTCAGCCAGACAACGGAGCAAAGACAACACACATCTCCCCGAAGTAAATGAGGCAACAGATTGGACAGAACGGATGAGAGGAAAAACAGAAGGAGAAAATCCCAAACCGCAAAGCCCCCAAAGACATGCCAAAAACCCAAACTGAAGTCACAGCTGTCTCTGCTCCAGCAGGGAGGGGCAGATCAGTTTCTGTACACTGGGCCCAGCTCCAGGTTGAGACACAGACCCTGGGCCCGGGGATGGGGCCTGGGGGAACCTACTGCTCTGGGCCCGGCCGGTGGACCCCGAGGATCCTATCTTGCCTCCCAGTGTCCCCCATCCCTGGTCCCCACTGCCACTTACACACACAGCGGCTCCTGGACGGGTCCAGCATGAGGCCAGGCCCACAGGTGCACAGGTAGCTGCCCCTGGTATTCACGCACTCCGAGTCCTTGCACAGATCCAGGGTCAGGCACTCGTTGATATCTGCGGGGGTGGGGGGGGGGGGGGGGGGGGTTGGAGGAGGTGAGGGAGCGCCCGCCCCACCACAGCCTTAGGGAGGGGAAGCGGCTGGGCAGAGATCTTCCAGTACTTTCTCCGAGAAAAAGGGACAACAATAAGAGAGCTGCCATCTATTAAGTGTGGTCCCTCTCTCTCTGTGCCTCAGTTTCCTCGTTTCTCGTAACTACCAGATGGTCTTGTTAGGAGAATAAAATAAGATAAAAATTACAAATCACTTAATTCCACTAACTGGTAATAATGATCATAATATTAAGAGTTAATGTTTCTTGCTTGAGTCCCTATCATGGGCCAGGTACCACGCCAGGTGGCTGACGTATGCTACCTCATTGGATTCTTGCCAACAATTTTACCAAGTAGGTCCAAGTGGCTTCATTTTATAGGTGAGGAAACATGGTCCAGGAGTAACTTGCCCAAAGTCACGCAGCTAGTGAGTGGCGTGCTGGGATGCAAACAAGGGGAGCAGATAAGGGGACAGTTTGGGTTGGAGTGGACAGAGCCATCTGCCCAGTCCCTCCTACTCAGCCTTCCTTGAGGGACTCTGAAGCATCTCCACAGGACCCCAGACCCAGGAAACACGTCCACAGTGAGAGCTGCAGGCTGGAGGGAGCCCCGCGGCAGGAGGACGGAGACAAGCGCTGAGGGGCAGAGGGTTGGGATGGCATGTTTCCAGGAGGCCGGAAGGCCTTGGGCAGGCCACACACATCCTCCAAGACCAGTGGATGCTCATGCTGTTCTTCAAACAAGGGAAGGACATTAGCTTCCTTTGTGATCTCAAAAATATTTCATGCTGGGGCGCCTGGGTGGCTCAGTTGGTTGGGCGACTGCCTTCGGCTCAGGTCATGATCCTGGAGTCCTGGGATCGAGTCCCGCATCGGGCTCCCTGCTCGGCGGGGAGTCTGCTTCTCCCTCTGACCCTCTTCCCTCTCGTGCTCTCTATCTCTCTCATTCTCTCTCTCTCAAATAAATAAATAAATCTTTAAGAAAAAATATTTCATGCTGGAAACGTCTTCCTGCCAAGGGGAAATCCCAACCCTCACGTTCTAAGCTCCAAGAAGTCTTGATGATGGTGCCTTCTTGATGACGGTGAGTGTGGAAGATTTGTGAGGAGCACCCCCACCTCCAAGACCAGGAGATTAGACATGGCAGCCCTGTCACCAGAGTCACCTGCTCACCCACAGGCTTCAGAGAAAGTGGTACTGAGCACAGGAATGAAGGGGCTAGAAGATGACCCAACTATTCTTTGGCAGGACACCCTATTGGCAGGGAGGCGCCTGGGGAAATGCCATTGAGATCTAGGAAGGGGAACAGACCCATTTGCCTCTGGACTGTGCCCAGAGTGATATATCTAAATCTGACATGCCTCTGGGGTCCCCATTCACCTCCTAGAGGGAGCTCCTAAACCCTCACATGGTATCCAGTGCCCTCCACCATATTTCCGCAAAGCCTGGGGGTGAGCAGGCAGCTCTGATGGGGCCCTGGAGGCCTGTGCTCTCTCCTGTGCATACGTGGGCTGTCCTCCAGCCAGCCGAACTGTTCCTTTGCTTGTGCTGTTCCCTCAGCCTGGAATGCCTGCATCCCATTTAGCTGGTCACCTCTACTCAGTCTTTAAGTCCAGGTCACCCATCACCTGAAGCCCTTCTCCTACCCTCCCAGTCTGGGAAGGGACCCCTAACATGCGATCCCATGGCACCCAGAGCTTCTTTCTAGCAAGAGTACTTCTCCCATGGTGTATAATTGTTTAAGCATCTGTATTCACCGGGGGCAGCTGCTGTGTTTATCTGTCACCGTGGGCTAACACCTAGCACAAAACATGCAGCTCCTAACAACACCTCAAAATTGCCCCGTGGCAGGAGAGAAGGATGGAGAGAGAGAGACAGAGGACGGTGAGGCACACGGGTGTTGAGGTGAGCAGGTCCCCTCCCAGATATGGAGACCAAGGCCACAGACATGGGAAAGGGGGGAAGTTCAAAGGGCAGGCCCTCCTCGGGGAGGGCCCCTTGGCTTCCTGTATCCTTGGGGCTCAATGGAGGGAGGCCCAAGAGCTCCTTTGAGATCCTGGGAATAACTTTAACCCTGTGCACTGGGAAACCTGCCAGGAGGAGAGGGCCCTCGGGACAGTTTAGATATAAATGGCCCTACTGTACCCTCCAAGGGCAAAACTAAAGACTTCTCTCCACACCCACCACCCAGTCTACTAGTCCTCATTGCCCCCAGGGGAGTCCGATCTTGAGCTGGGTCAGAGGCCTGCCCTTTTGCCTGGTCCAAGCACTTTACCCATGGGCCAGAAATCCCCTTTGGGCCTGGCACCTCCCAGGCAGACAGCCTAGCCACCCCAGGACTTCCTTCAGTTCCCTCTCTCCTGAAGAAACCTCCAGGGGGAGGGTACTTAGGAGGCCATCTGGGTCAATCCCCTGTCTCTAACCCAGTTTCATTTAAAGTAAGCCATCCAGACAGCAGTGTATCCAGTTCTCCAAAGGGGAAGCTGCCTCGGCTCCCTGCTGACCTCTGCCAGCCCCAGGAACCTCCCAGCTGGAAGGCCCTGCTCACATCTCCTACTGCCAGGCCCACAGCCAACAGGGGCTCCCTGCTCAAAGCCTGAGGGGCAGCAGCTGCCCCTCAGTGAAGGCTTCTGGACCCCTCAGTCATCCTGGTCCTACGCATCATCCCCACTGGGATTCCCGTAGTGACGAAGCCATAGCTGAGCCCGCCTCCCAGCTCTGTGTCCCAAGGTGCCTCTGGGCCTTGCTGCTCTGTAATGCAGAGGGCCCCAGACCTCAGGTGGCCTCAGAGAGCCGGTCAGCCAGGCCAGCAAGGCCAGGGGCTTTATGGGCCCCTCTCCTCCACCTGTGTCTTCCCTCTCCCCTCTCCTGGTTGTGGGAGGGAGGTCTGAGCAGCGGAAGGTGATTTGTTGGGGGAAGTCTACGAGGTCCCCATCAACTCAGGCTGACTAGATCCCGAAGTCAAAAGTCCTCCCATTCCAAGGAGATTGGCCGAGGAGGTGAGGGGACGTGTGGGGGCTGGGGCAGTACCTGCACACACAGACCCCACAGCTCTAGAGAGGCACCTGGCCCAGGTCCGGTGGGGGCAGGTGGAGATGGGAAGAGGGACAGGCTCAGCTCCCAGGGCCCTTTCTAGGCATGCTCTCTCATTATCCCCCCAACTTCCTTAGGCCCCTGGAACCAGCAGCCCCCACAACTCCCCGCAGCTGGGGCTTAGAGATGCCCAGTGAAGACCACTCAGTGACACCACTCCTTCTGTCTGGGGATGGTGGGGGAATGCACTGGCATCCTCAGACCTTCATCATCCCCCCGCCCCAAGCCTAGCCCTGGCCCGGGGTCACGCTTACCTTGACAGTGAGTGAGATTCAGTCTCTTATACCCCTGGGGACACTCCAGCTGGCCATTTTCAATCACCGGGGAGGCTGAGGAGTAAAGATATAGACAGGTGTCACTGAAGGGCCCTTGGGATCCTCTGTCACCCATGCTGAAAAGTGGGGTGCAACCGACTCCACAGCTGTGAGGCCCTGTGCCCCCAAGTCATCACTGTGGAGAGCTGTAGCCTCCTTGGCTACAGTCCCTACAGTCCCACCCCCCCCCGCCCCCGGCCCCGGCTCTCGCCAGGTTACTCTTGACCGACCCTGCTCTTCCTAGAAATGACACTCGGTCACTCTGTCTCGTATATAGTTATAACATGACATACAGTGCACAGCAATGTTATACACGCTAATGGGATTAAACAAGTTTTATGTATTTATGTATTTATTTAATTTTGGGGTTTTGAAGTAATTATAGATTTGCAGGAAGTTACAAGAAATAGTCACAGAGAGGTCCCGTGTGTCCATCACCCAGTTTCTGCTAATGGTTCCATCTTCCATAACTATAGCTGTTCTGGTAGTTTTTAAACATGTAGATGCAACAATTCACAGTCTAATGCTTAGTTCAACTTATTTTGATCCTGGATTTTAATGCTGCTATAGCTGACAAGGTATCTCGGCTCAAGATGGAAGAAGCTCCCTGTCGATGGTATGGCACAGAGAAAACCACGCTATTCAGTTTTCACGCACTCTCACCAACTGTGTGATGCTGGTGTTGAAAGCTAGCCAGTAACTTTCTGTCTCCCCTGAGGCTGGCTAGTCGTTCTTACAAATGTAAAATACATTCGAAAATGCCAGTTTTCAAATTTTTTAAATGTGCAAATGGAGTTGGTTTACAGCAACAAATCCCATAATGATGAAACTGCTTCCAAACATCCGTTTTCTCAAAAGGCTCTTTCTGTAGCGCAGATGTCTTGCCGGGCAGCCCTGCCCAGAGTTAATGGCGGACCAAACCCAGCGGCTGTTTGACTCCAGATGGACCAACAAGGAAATAAGTCTCAGATTCTGGGGCCGATACCTATCCTACCTTGATTTCCCAACATTCTTCCGTACTTCAAAGAGGAAAAAAAAAAAGTGCTTTGAAAAAGAAAAACCTATTGACTTAAAAACAGGGAAACATCTCTGTTACTTTGAAGAGACAGACTAGCATGTCAGCCTCCAGAGAAATGCTTTGAAGGGTGTTTTTTGTTTTTCTTTTCTTTCCCTGAAAAGCTCTAGCAGGTAGCAGAGTCCTGACAGACATTTGTCATCATAGGAAAGAGCAGCAGATGTGGACACCCATCTTTTTGGTTGTTTTTTTTTGTTTGTTTTTGTTTTTAAAAAGAATAGCTCATCTATAAGTGTGACCATTTCTTGGCCAAGACATAGCCAGCAATTCCCACGGGATATAACAGGGACTCTTCTGACACAAGGTTCCATTAAGATCCCCTTCTACTTTAAAGTTTTGTTTTATAAAGTGAACCACACGATGACTTCCTCTAGCAATTTGTCTTCTGATTTTATTTATTTATTTATTTATTTATTTATTTTTTAATTTACTTGACAGAGCCAGAGATAGCAAGAGCAGAAACACAAGCAGCGGGAGTGGGAGAGGGAGAGCAGGCTTCCCTCAGAGGAGGGAGCCCGATGCGGGGCTCGATCCCGGGACCCCGGGACCCCGGGACCACGACCTGAGCCGAAGGCAGACGCTTAACGACTGAGCCCCCCAGGCGCCCTGTCTTCTGACTTTGACTTCCTTGTGGCAGTAGCCTGCCTATGACCATATGCTGTGGTGAGGGGATTTTGCTCGGAGCGCCCTCTACCTCTAAGTTCTTTTTATTTCAGTCGGAGCATCAGTAACTACCATTACAGAGTTTTTGGAAAACTTATTTTTATTGAAGACGTCATTTACTGTTGAGAATATATGCCTGCGGCTCATCCTTTCTTTAGTAGTATCTTTACAAAAGGATAGTTCTTCATATATTTTGTTGAAATGGACTCTCGCAAATACCCAGAGGCATGTTAGAGATATCTACACTCTCATCCAATTGTGCAGCAAAGCTTGAGCATCTTGGTGTTTTTAAATGTTTTTCTAACCCAGATGGCCTCTGCTCTATTGTTAGCTGCTAGTTCCCAGCACATTACAGAATTGGGGCAAAGTCCGTAATTCGTGATTATTGATCTAAACCGTATTTCATACGGCTTCTTGATCATTTGGATCCTGGGGTCCCTTTTGGGTCACATCTGAGAGGTCCTCATTATCTTTACTTCGGAATACGGTTGATTACAGGTCAGGGGAGAAGGGGCAGCAGTTTAAAAGTGATTACTTGCAATTATGTAGTCTTATTTTGAATCCTATTTCTTTGCAAGAATTTTTTTAGAGTCACTTTTCCACTTGGTGAGGGTTGTTTTCGATAAAACTTGACAACATAATAGAAAAACCCCATAAACCCAGCATTGTTGTAGGTTACGTGTTGTGATATGCCAAAGACAAACATGAGGAGGCGCCATGTTTTCTTGGAACCCCGCTCTTCCCTGAGACACTCCACAAGCCAAACATGACATCTGACAGTCTGACATACAGACCAAGTGAGGATGTAAATCAGTAAAGCTTCATTTTTTCTTTAACATTAAAAAAATGTCAGTTGAATTTGTAATATCTTTGCCCACTATGGATGACAGTCTCGCTCGGGCTTTGCCTGTCGTCCCACCGTGGGGGGACTAGGCTCCGGCCCGGTGGGGATAAATGAGGATTCTGAACATGCTGACGTTGAGACAGAAGGATGGGAGTGAGGCTGGGAAATGTGAGAGCCCCTGGCATGGGGCCTGGGTGTATCAGCTGAGGGCAGGGAGGACGCAAGAGAGGGGGGAAGTTGTTTGGAGAAACTCAGAAAGCAAGCTGATTCGATGCAGCCTGCAAACATTACGAGGAGGAGAAGGTGGGAAAAAATAATGGAAGGCAGATGCCTGAGGGCCGAGGAACGGTAACAAGGGAACATTTGGATGGAGTCATGAGGCCATTGGTACACATTATCCTGTCTATTTCCCACACAACCATCCTGCAAGGCAGGGAGCATCATCCCCATTGTCCAGATTAGGAAAGCGAAGGTCAGAGGGGGCCCAGTAGTGGTTCAACCCAAGCCTCTGGCTGCGGAGGCCACATCCCTTGCATGTAACTGCTGAGAGCAGGAGGGAGAGAAGGGGCCAGGAGGCCAGAGCAGCACCGTGATGTCAGGAGGGAGACATGAGGCAGAAGGACCCTGCTTCTTGAGTGAGCAGGGGAGGAGTGCTGGGAGCGGGGCTTAGTGCTGGCACCTGAGAGAGAACCCAGGAATGTGCAACCTGAGAGGAGCTGTGTTCATTCATTCATTCATCAGGATTCACGTGCTTTTCCTATAAAGGGATTTCTTCCCCAGAGGACTCTGCTCTATCGCTAGCCTTAAGAGAAACTGTTGGAGGGACAACTGTTGGTGAAGGCAGACTTCTTTAGAGAGGAACAAATTTCAAAGCCACTGTCCCGGGTGAAATTCCCATTTTGCCAGCAACCCCAACCTGAGCCCAAAGAGGGCCCTCAGATCCTGCCTCACACCTCCCAGAGGCCACCTACGAGCTTCTGTGAGACCCAGTGCAGCATCCAATCCAGAAAAGTCAGCTTCAGTCTCATCCGGGGATAGAAGGCTGAAGTTTAGACAGCCACGTGGAAGGGAGAACCTTGGCTCGGGGTGGAACTCGGCACCCACCCGCGGCTCCAGGCCTGATCCTGGCAGCCGGCGAGCTGTGTGATTCACAGAGTGGGAGAGGGCAGGCGCCACTGCCCCTGCCACCCACGCTAGGTTGCCTCCCAACACACTCAGGCCTTCCCTTGCCATGGCACTTAAAATGCTGTTATGACGGCCTGTTTGCTTGTCCATGTCCCCCACTAAAGTGTAAGCTCCATGAAGACAGGAACCTTGTCTTCATCATTGCTACATCCCTAGAGCCCAGCACGGCATATGGCACACTATAGGCACTCAATCACCTTTTTTTTTTTTTTTTTTGGTAAGCCCAACATAAGGTTTAAACTCACAACCCTCAGATCAAGACCTGAGCTGAGATCAAGAGTCGAATGCTCAATTGACTGAGCCACCCAGGTGCCCCTAGAGGCACTCAATCAAGATGGAATGATAATAAGAGCAAACACTAAAATAGCATCTACTATGGGCTAGACCCTATTATAAAGTCCTTACACGTATTAACTTATTTAATCCTCATAACAATCCTCGAGGGAACTTACTAATATTTTCCCCATTTTATGGAGGAGCAAACTGAGGCACAGAGAGGTAGGAAACATGCCCAAGGTCTCCCAGCTGGGGGATGGAGCTGGGATTATCAACCCAGGCAGTCTGCCTCCAGAGGATAGATTCTGAACCACTCCTCTCTACTGCCGCCAAATAAATAAACGAGTGAACTCACACCAAGCCTCAGGAGTTGTCCAGGCAGGAATCCTAGGGTCTGCAGGCTACAGGGAAAACCGTGCTCATCAGGAAGTATATTACCCTTTTTGGGAACTTCTCTTCCCTTTTTTTTAACATGGGTTCAGGAGAGCAAGTGGGAAAAACAAAGGCAGGGATACCCAGGAGAAGGTCAGGAGATGGGCCAGAGCACTTATGGTCAGAGATGTGCTATGGTCAGAGATGGGCCAGAGCACTTATGGTCAGAGATGGGCCAGAGCACTTATGGTCAGAGATGGCCCAGAGGACTTATGGTCAGAGATGGGCCAGAGCACTTATGGTCAGAGATGGGCCAGAGGACTTATGGTCAGAGATGGGCCAGAGCACTTATGGTCAGAGATGGGCCAGAGGACTTATGGTCAGAGATGGCCCAGAGCACTTATGGTCAGAGATGGCCCAGAGGACTTATGGTCAGAGATGGGCCAGAGCACTTATGGTCAGAGATGGCCCAGAGGACTTATGGTCAGAGATGGGCCAGAGGACTTATGGTCAGAGATGGGCCAGAGGACTTATGGTCAGAGATGGGCCAGAGGACTTATGGTCAGAGATGGGCCAGAGCACTTATGGTCAGAGATCCAG